CCGTGTGCGCTCTTCCTTTAAGGGAAGCCAAAGGAACACAAGGGCCCAGGCAGCAGTGTGGAGCCCTGCAGAGCCCGGGGGTGGGGGGCGGTCCCTCAAGATGCAGATGCCCTCAGAGTCCCAGAGAACAGAAGGATCTCCCTCCAGGCGACAGCTCTGCCGGGGCCCACCACTGTGCCAGGCTTTCTGACAGCAAATCACATCATGTCCAAAAAAAACAATTCGAAGTCCTCCGTGAGATGCTGGAAATAGAAAGGGAAAGCTAAAGAAAGGAGGCCTGTTTAGCCTGGAGGAAAGAAAACAAAATGTTAACAACTGACTTCATAAAAATAAAGGGATGGCTGTCAATGTCAGCTGAAATAAGAATGTCGTGAGATAGCGTGAAACCAGAGCAGAGGCATTTTGACCATCCGCCGGAAGTAATGAGCTCTCCATCATCAGAGGCAATCGCTCGTGATGGAGGGGGACCGTCTTCCTGGGGACGATGTGGATAAAATTTGTCCATTAGATAAAAGCTTTTAAAGTTATTTCTTCTAAGCCAGGCATGGTGGCTCACACCTGTAATCCCAGCATTCGGGAGGCTGAGGCAGGAGGGTTGCCATGAGCTCGAGGGCAGCCTGGACTACATAGTGAGTTCAAGGCCAGCCTGGAATACATAGCGAGACCCTGTCTCAAAAACAAAAAATTGTTTCTTCCGTTAGGCGCACTCTTTAAAATTCGGTCTTTTAAAATAGGATTTTGTTAGTACAGATTTGCCTTCAGAAGGGGGAATCCTGATTGATCTTTGACCTCATATCCCCTCACACCCTGCCGGTCCCCAACCTACTACACAAGGACAAACATAACTGAATTGTTTTAGTTCTGATGGTTTTTCCAGAAAGAGCTGTTTACTCGTGTGGTTTTGGCACCACCTTGTGGCTGATTTGTTTATTACAACATATACCTGGCCTGCAATAGAGTTTAATACAAATACAGTACCCTCTTTGATGAATACTGTACATTAATTCAACAAAAATTCATTAAACACAAGTTATGGCTTAAGAATTCTCCCAGAACCTGGGTTCACTTCCTGAGAAACAAATTAAAGACATGCTCTTGCCTTCCTGAGGTTCACTGTGTAATGGAGTAGACAGCAAACAAGCCAACAGGGAAAGAATTAATGATTGCACATTGTGATGTAATTTGGAATAAGCCCATCGTGGGACAGAGGATCACATAGGCAGGAGGAGTGTGTGTTAAACAGGGTAAGAAGGACGCCCTGAGAAACATAAAAATCAAGCTTGGAAAGACGGGATGAGGTGGCACCAACACAGTGAGCAAGGCCAGGGGGCGAGCGGTGAGGCTGGAGAGCAACTTTGAGCTCCGCAGCTGGGGGAAGGGCCTCCCAGAGAGCACCTGGTTACATTTACATCTTCACAGAAACAGGAAGGAGGGGAAATGCTCTGGTGTAAACCTGGCCATTTGCTTGGCTCCAGCAGAACCCCAACCAGGGACATCGATAATTCCTGCGCTCCTCAAAACCAGACGGCCTGCGTCTGCTCCTGCCCTGCCTTGTGTGGTTGCCACTGCGGAAAACTGTGTCTCTGCAGCCTCATTTTAAAGGTCCAAACAGTGTACTTGCAAGTCACTTGGGAACGCTTAAGAATCCCAGTGTGTGGGGCCAGGGATTTAGCTCAGTGGTTTCGCTGCCTGCCTGGAAAATGCAAGGACCTGAGTCCGATCCCCTGTACCAAAAAAAAGAATCCATATGTCCAGGCCACACCCCTGATCGGTTAAATCTGCTTGCCTGGGGGTGAACCTGGGCTTTAAATACTCCCTGGGTGGTTCCAATGCACAGCTGAAGCAGAGCAGAGCTGATCTGGAAGGACATTTGCCAGAAGAAAAAATAAAGGCCTCACTTGATAATGTGGAGTGGTGAAGGTTATGCAAGTAATGAGCTGGGCTGGTTTCTTTTTCAAGACCTGGACTCTTTCCAAGTGGAAACCACCACTCTGGGCCACCACGCATGCCCTCCACAAGATGCTTGAAGTTCCTGCCTGGACGCTTCACGTTGCAGGAAACAAGACAGCACCTGTAGTCCCCTGTGTCCCGGGGAGGCCTGCAGTGACCAGAAATGCTGTGCACCTGGACTTGCTGCTCCAAGTGACCTGCAATTGCTAGATTTTGTATTACAGGTTGAATACCCATCCAAAATGCTGGAGACCAGAACTATTTCAAATTTTGATTTCTTTTTAATTTTGGAATATCTGCACAGAGAGAGAGAGAGAGAGAGAGAGAGAGAGAGAGAGAGATCGATCTCGGGGAGAGGACCCTGGAGCTGAGCCAGCCACGAAACATTAGTACACAATGGGCTGTTTACTACCAGCTTTCTATTTCCAGTAAAAGGATGATTAACATTAGGGTTTACGCTAATCAAGCTCCCTAAGGAACTGGCAACACACACTTATGTTGCACTTGTATTTAAGCAATTACTAACATTATTTTCCTCAAAAGGAAACTACCCCCTACATTTTAGTGCCCACGTAGCTAAGCAAAGGTGGCGAAAATCCATGAGACATAAACTGTCATTTTCTAGTTTTCCTATCATGAATACAGATGATTAGTGTAACAGTATTACTTACATAATTGCAAAGGAAGCAAACCACAATCACCCAGCAAGAATCAATTCTGTGCTGTACAAGATTCAAGCATGGAACTGCTGAGTGGTCAGCACCCAACTGCCTTTTAGGATACTTCCTCTGTGGACCCTGAAATTGTTCTCCCAACAAGGAGAAGGGCCACGTCATACTTCCTTGGTAGCTAAGTGTCTCTAGTATAGGGTGGGAGGCACCTATCAGGATCAAAATACGAGCATAATCAATTCAGTTAGCTTAGACAGTGAAGCCATTCCCAAACAATTTTTCGTAAGGGCCGTGGGCTCTTTATTGTATGTGTGCAGATGTTACCAGTTTTTCAAAGTATATTCCAGAAAACTAGTGTTCTCTGGGCTACAGGTATATAAAGCAGGGGGTTGGGGGCTGAAAGACAAAACATTTCTTTTCAGAGATGCTCAGAGCCTTGACTATGCAAGTATTCACTGTGAATCTGTTAATAGGAAGTCGCCATAGCCCTTTATGAATTTAGTCACAACACACCTTTCTCCAGAGACCAGTGCTCCCAGGATATGTTTTTAAAAATTCCAGTCAATCTTTCAGGACATGGCTCTTCGACCTACCACCCACAGGGAAGAGGGACTGCAAACTCGGCCTATCCCGTGATGAGGGCAGGGCAGCAAACCCCAAAGGGCACTGTACAGAATGAGGTCAGGTGGCCATAGGACAACTCAGACTTCTGTCAAGAGCTAAGCTGCAGATGAAGTGGCTCAGAGCCTAGAAAACACATGAGGAATGGTCCAATAGTCACAGCTGAACATCAGGTGACATTTTAATTTATTGTTTAGACATCACTTACACTGTTTTCTAGGTCCCGTTTGGGTTGGTCAGACACTCAGAGGGATGGTGAGAGGAGAAACAGCAGCGTGGACCAAGTGGCTCACAGGGCTTCCTCACTGTCAGGCCTGCAGCACCTTCCCCAGCACATCGCCACAGACCTTTACTGTCACATGCCACTGCGAAAATATGCTTTTACATGAAATAAAGCCTAACTGCACATTTACCTCATTAAAATCCCACACAGACTCTGCCAGAGATTAATGAAGGAGAGTAAGGTGTTAAGAGTTAAAAGATGATGAGCCACTGAGTTTTTCCATGGATGAATAAAAGCAGTGAGCAGGATGCGGTCTCTCCTGTACCCCACTCCAGGCCTCCGACGGACAATGTGACTGCACTGATGGTGGCAGGCACTTAGGCACCTATCAGAGGTAGCCATGACAACATACAGCCACACTGACCAAAGCGGGTCCCTAAGAACACATCCTACAAAGTGCTCCTTGTAAAAGGAGATCACAAAGATTTAGAAAATACTCGCTATCGTTTTTATCTAGATGTCTCCCAAGAGCCTCCTGCACCCCTGGGCAGGGCTTCTGGAAGGTGACTATCCCATAGGGGCTTACAGCTGCCCTGCTGGTAAGAGGTGGGGTGTCTGAGGGCAAGGCCTGGGTCATTGCCCCTTCCTCCCTTCCCTCTCTGCTTCCTGTGGGCAGCTCTGCTCTGCCACACATACCATCCTGCCTTGGAGCCAGTAAACTATGGCCTGAAACATGAGCCAAAATAAACCTTTCTTCCCCTAAGCTGTGGGTGTCAATTACTATATACTATTATCTTTCTTCTTGGAGATTCACAATGCACATCATGACACGGAAGTGTCAAGAGGTCCTTTAATTAAAAAATGCTTAACTTGGTTAACCCAGAGTTTCCCAAATCAACCTGACCTTGCAATCTTTATTTATTTTTAGTCAATATATGTCATAGAACATATTTTCAGAAATGCTCCTCATGCCTTTGAGAAATTCATTATAAAACAAAAATAATTTTTTTACTTAAAAAAATTAAATAATTCCTAGGATCACATGTTGGTCAGTAAGGGAGAGGTCACAAAGCCATAGACCCCCACCATTTTAATTCCTGCCCAGCTCCTGTGTCTGCTGTGATCATGCTCTTGAACGGGCCATTGTGCCTGAGCTCTTGAGCCTGCCTAAAAACACACAGGGATAAATTGTCCATAATTTCTTTCTTTATGGCATAGGGTTCAGCATCTGATTATGGTACAGATTGAGGAGGGCCTAGACAGGGGCCTAAATTTCATGTACAGAAACCAGATGTTTATAGTCTTTTCTTCTGTGGTAACCATCAGATCGGTAAAACAGTACTGCTCATCGCATGACTATAAGGCCTTCCGAACAGACCTTTGTTCCTAACAAAAAAGGGATGATAAAAGGTAGAGCTTCTAATACTTTTCAGCAAGAGTCACACAGGCCAGAGATCATAATACAAAAGCTTTTGGCTACACAAATTTAAAGGTATTACAGCGAGGAAAGATAAAAATCAATCAGAGAACTGGAATGATGTAAACCTTTCATCGTTTGCATAATATGTCATTTTTTATTCTTGATTCCAAGGAATTTCACATGATATTTTGAAAGAGAAGACAGGGAAAGCAAGAATCTCCAACTGTGGGACTTGACAAAGTTATCATCAGAGCCCTGCAAGGCCGTGAACCGCGTTCACACCTCAATAGCAATTCTTGCAAATCGGTACTGCGGGGAGGCGGGAGGCCTCAGCAGCACCAAGCCCCTCTCAGCTGCTGGCTGGCTGGACAGCAGATCCAGCAAGCCCGTCACACTAACGAACCCCAGGGCTTCTCCACAGCCAACAGCCATGGAAAAATCTCCCTGAGTGACAAAGCCGAGGAGGGCTCTGGAGCAGTGTGAAGTCAAACCCGGGAGGGTGCCTGACCATAATCCCAGAGTCGGGGCTTCCTGCCTGGCCTCAGGCGGCCCTGATGCCAGGGCCTCAGAAGCAGCACATCCTTGGTTCTGCCTTTTCTCTATTTTCTTCTTTTCTTTCTGCTTCAGGATGACGCTCTTGAATGGGTCGTTGTGCCGGGGCTCCTGGGGCCCACAGTACTCTGGGTCCTGACTGAGCCGAAGCAGGTCCTCCTCAGCTGGGACACAGATCATGGTGTGTGGCTCGGGGCTGCCCTTCCTGAGCAGGGACAGGCTGACCCACACCAGGGCCCTGGGGAAGCGGTCCTCGAAGGCTAGGCAGGCCTCTCTGGTCAGTCCTTGCTGGCCTCTGGCAGGGCCCCACCGGGCTGCCCGCCGATCCTCAGAACGGGGTCTGCACCAGGCGGACAGCTGCTTCAGTAACTTTCTACTCCTACATGAAGCCAGAGACACACATTTGAGGATATTTTGTTTACGGAAAGATATGCAATCAGAAGATTAGGCATTGCTAGAGTTAATTTGATTTTTTTAGACTATATGCGAGAAAGTATCAAAACTATAATTTTTTTAAAATTAAAAATACATATTAATATATTTTAGTAAAAATATTTTTCTTTGTATGTGTCTGTCATTCTAAAACTAAAAGTTTAAGAAGTTGAAGGCAGAGAAAATTAAGACAATGGGTAGAATGGAAGGCTGTCATCAGGGACAGGATGGGGACAAAGAAGGACTGGTATTCTGATGAGGAAAACCTAAAAGGATAGATGTGAAGTAAGAAATAAGGATATGAAATTCTGAGCTTATTGTGCAGAAAGAGAAGTATGAGGGAAAGAGATGAGTGTTTTTTTAAAATGAGAACGTATTCTACGGGGAGCTGCTAGGCAGCAGACCTTGGCCTGCCCAGTACCAAGGGTAGAATGAATTTCACCCAGAAGCTGCATGACATGGCATGTTACATCGAGGCAGCTGCTAACCCACCATGAGTCCATGATTCGAAAGGAACCGGAAGAGACATAACTGAGGGATGCAAAGAAATAAAGCTTGCTCAGTGCAAGAGGTTCTTGGTGACCTAGTAGGACCACAGCCGTGAGGGTGCGGCAGTAGGAGCAAAGACTAAATGAGGTCACAGGAAAAACTGCCTTGATTACTACTGCAGATGACAGTACTTTCATTTCATCAGTGACTATCATGCCCTCAATCAGCTATTACCATGCTGTTTTGCTGGGCCCTCTATGCAACATCAAAGGACTTCTTCCGGAAAGCCCATGCATTCACTTGGGTTTTACATGAAGGAACGGTGCTAACTTTTACATCCCGTGGCCTGTTCAACATAAAAATAAATAATGCAAAATATATCCAGAAGTTACCTGCACTTACCTCAGCACACAGAGTTGACTACTGGTAGCAGCAACATGGTTCTCACTTGTACCCTGGTCCATATCCCTCTCGGTGCCTGGCTGGTCCTGACACTCTGTGTCCAAGACTCGTGACTCGGTGGTGTTATTTACGGGTGTGCCTGCTTCAGCAGATGCCTGATGAGGTTCTTCAGGGGTGGGAGCATGAGGCACCTCGCATCTTCTTAGGTCACTCTCCTCACCAGTTGGAGAGGAATCTACAGAAGATCCTTCTTGGGCCCAGACTCTGGACTCCCAGTCCTGAGTTAACTGCTCCCAGGGACAGCAGAAAGGTGCCAGTGTGCCAAGCTTGACATAGTTGGGCCGTTTGGCAGGAGGGCGCCTAATGAAAACCAAAGAGGAGAACAGATTTTCAACAACTGAGAAGTGACACTTAAAATGATTAGGGCCATTATCTCCATCTAACACACACACACACACACACACACACACACACACACACACGTATACCACACACATACACTTCCCAGGAAATGTATGATAAGAAAATAACACCTACCACTACTGGCCAAGAGTTTTTGTTTCCTCTGGTCTTTAGGAGATACAAAGTAGTTCCACGTGGCCACTGGACAACCCCAGGGAGTGCCATTCCTGAGAGGTCCAAGCACATGGCACTCCTAGTTTGGAGATGTCCCTATACATCCATCAGGCTAAGTACAAGGTTACGGTGAAGTTTCTCTCTCACTCCTGACCTCTCCTCCTATGACCCTGCTCTCCTCCACAGAGGCAATGTTATCAGTTTCTTAGATATCCTTCCAAAGACATTTCATGTACATACAAGCACGTGGGTATCAATTTCTTCCTTTTTTACTCATATGGGAGCATACTAGATACAGTAACTTTTGTTTAACTTCACTTTTTCTATTTAACAAAATATCTTAGACATCATTTTATATCAATACATCAAGCTCCCTCCCTTTTTTGTAAAAGTCTGTGTCTCCTTTTCCACCACGTGAATATACCCTAATCTATATAGGGAGCCCACTGCTGAAAGACACTTTGGTTATTCCCAAGCCTCTTCTTCTACAAATAATGCTGCCATGAATGACCCTGAGCATGCTGCACCTGTATCACCACAAGCCATGGAACTGCTAAGGCGAGGCTTCTGCCAACTTCCCAGATGCCCTGTTCACCTCCACTCCCAAACATTTGTTGTCACTCACAGTGGCCTCTGCATCTACATAAATCCCCCTTCGAATACACTGGCCAACCGTTACTCTACCTCTGGGACCCACCTTAGGTCTAGTCGTTGCCAGCGTCAGCCCCACCTCACCATCTCAATTCCAAGGACACTACTCTCAGAGCACCGGCTTCTATTCACCCACTTGCCCTCCCCCAAACTCCTCCCATCAGAGTCCCCATTCAGTCACACTGCCAGTTTCTCATCCTTCCCATCGCCCCCTTACCCCTGACTATCAGCTCAGAGTCCAAGTGCACCACACCCCCTCCCTTACATGCACCTTCAACTCCCTCCACCTGGCAGAACCCAGCCAGGTTAGAGCAGCTCCCCAGTGCCCTGTGCCAGCATCTAATCAGCAGCACGAAGCAGGAAGGATTCACAATAGTCCTGAATAGTCCTAGTTATTTAGTTTATTTAAACACAAAACAAGTGGGAGTGCTCTTCCACTTCTTATAAATCTCTTATTTTATTTCCCCAGTCAATTCAATCTTCCACTCTTCCAGAAAAGTGTTTGCAACAATTTCTCTCTCTTCAAATCTCCAACAATCCCTCTGCACTTCCTGCTTCCAGCTTCCAATCTCACCACTGTTTGCCGAGAAGACAGTCACAGCCTAGAAAGCACTGGCCAATCTCCTCACCACAGCATCTGTCCCACTAAGTCTGGGTTAAGACTTCTTTAAGGGGAATAACTGGACCCCCATCCTATCAGATGCTACCCCTCCACCATGTGCTGGACCCCACTCCCTCTTCCTAGCAGCACTCCTGCATTTAGCCTCCCTGCCCTCCTCTAAGTCCCCCTACCAGCTTGGAAACATGTCCATCAAGGAACTGGGAGCTGTGTCCATCAAGGATACAGGCCTCACAGAGCCAGGGACAGACTTTGTCAGCCTTGTCCCTGTGACAGCCATGGTGCCTAGAGTGGTGTTGGACCCACAGTACATTTTAAATCAGTATTATTAAGTGAATGAATATGTCTGACACATATACAGAGATGTGTACAGGGAAATGTTCACAGAGCCCACAGTAAGAAATCAGAAATAACCAAAGGGCAACTGATAAAATATACATCCATATCCCAATTCCATGGAATCACTAAAAGTTCTATTTCCAGCCAGAGCAGGAGAGCTGTGACTCACAGGCCAAATCTGGTCCCTGACTATTTTTGTACAACCCATGAGCTAAGAATGGTTTTAATATTTTTAAATGGCTGAAAAAAGCAGAAGAATAATATTTTATGACACACAAAAATTATATAAAATTCAAATATGAGTAACCATAAATAAAGTCTGATTGGAATACAGCCATGCTCATCAGCTTCTATGTCATCTGAGATTGCTTTCGTGCCACAATGACAGTGCTAAGTAGTTGTTATGGAGACCAAAGGGACCACAAAGCCAAAAATATTTATCATCTGGTTCTCTGCCAGAAGTATGCCAACATTTGGTTTAGAGTTATTGATATGATTGCTTCTCGGCCTTTTGGCTAAGATCAAGTGTAAAGTTATTGATATGAAGAAACCATCCACAATCTATTGTTAAATGAAAAGGGCAGGTTTCAAAATAGTTTGTATAGAATAATCTTTTATTAAAAAAAAAATTCTGTACCTATGGAAAATGTACTTGCATTAAAAAAAAGTATTACTATCAATTACTGACCAAACACCTAAAAGACCTTGACTATGTATTATGGGAGACACAAGGACTGCAGCGCATGATTGCCACCTCCAAGAGCCAGTAAATGAACAATCCAAGAATGTGTTACCACTGCCCCTCTCCGTCGTCATCCATCCATCACTGAACACATGGCTGGAGAGCTAGGCCCTGCGCCTGCTTCTGTGGTTGCAGCAGGGAATAGGAAGGCATAACCTGGTCTCCATGGAGCTCAGTAAAGGGACTACAGCAGAACCTCCATTATGCACTTGGGCATCAGAAAACAAAGAAAAGTTATCAAGGCCTACCATGCCCCAACAATGGCTGGACACCACAGATGCCACAGCAAAGAAGAGAGAGACAGAGAGAGGAAGCCTACCATTCAGTGGAATACAGGTTCCTGATGTGCACACAGACTTCCCTATGTAAAGGAAATAAAGCCCCTCGTTCACTTATCTTCAATTAAAAGTCCAGATGAACAGCTACTAAAATATAACAACTGTGCTTATCTCTCTGGATAGCAGGACTACATCAGTTTGTAAAGTATTTTTAACTATTTACATAGATTCATTAACATTTTATAAATATGTATTAACTCTATCATCAGTTTTTTAAAAGCACAATTTCCACAAAGGAGGAGGGTGGTATCGAGACTCCATTAGCACATGTATGAAATTCATGGCCACAGTTCAGGTGGACTCCACTATCAAAGCCAGTAAACAACCAAGAGAAAGGCTGCAACCTGAATGTGCCCATAAAAGCCAGATGGACAGGAGATAATCTCCTGACTTAAGTAATATTATCTTAATTACTTCATGGTATTACAGCGCTCAAGAAAAGATACCACACTGCACATAAAGAGTTACGGAAGCCATGCCCAAACCGCTAGACAAGGCTGGAAGGTACCATCTCTTATTCCTTAAGACATTACCAGAATAGAGTGCACTTCCTCACCTTTTGTACTTTTCAAGAAGATTCTTCGTTTGCTCTTCAGCAAAGAGAACCCCAGCAGGACAGTCTGGGAAATCACCTGGGACAGCAGGTGCCCTTTTATACTGAGAATGCACTAGACCCTCTTTTAATCCTCCAACTCTTGCACCTCGATAGATCTAAAAAAAAATATCAAAAGATACCATCAATTTACCAACATAAAGTAAAATGCTAAAATGTACATTAGAAGGAGAATGGATAAACACGTGATGGGATGATCCTATAGTCGATTACTATCTGACAGTAAAAATGAATGAAATGGAGCTTACCATTCAGCATGGAAACCCCATACCAAATGAATACAGCCAGTAGCAAAAGCATATATACAGTGAGATATATAGTTCAAAAGCACTTCAAATGTAGTTATTTCATTATGGGATAAAAACGGTTAATAAATCAATAAAAATATGCATACTGGCGACAAACACCAAAATCAGAACAGTGATTATTTTAGCATATGGGAAAGGAAGTAAGGTTGGATAGAGGGTCACAGAGTAATTCCAGGGGATCTGCATGCTTTATTCCTTAAACTGGATGGCAGATGAAGAGTACACAGGCTTTTATTATTTCAGGGTTGTTTTTTTTGATGCTTGAAACATTTCATAATTTTTTTAATTAAGTGGAATTATTTTAAAATATCACTCCTAAATAATTAACAGACTGTCCCTTGCACTAGGCATAATTGCTAAAAATTGACTGTATGAATCCAATAGTCTGATATGCCATTCACAATCTGTACCATCAAAGTAATATTTAATGTAATGAGAAAAATACAACATGTGACATTTAATAAAAAACTTAACTGTAGTTAATAAATAGAAGTACTATATGCTTATAGTTAACATTTTAGATTAGAAACAGAAAAGTATATTCTATACATCTGTAAAAATTGTCTTTTGCTTTTAAACTAAAACTCCAAGTTGAAAACTCAACATTTTGTTGCTACTATTATTAAAAATAAGGCCATTTTTAAAACCTCAAAAATTCACAGTTCAGTGCAAGGGAGAACTTGTCCTGGGACTATTTGTATGAAGTACGCTGTATCCAGGATTAAGCCTCTAAGGGCAGAAATATACTACTCAGTTTCTAAGTCATATATACATTCTAGAACACTTGTAGCATGTGGTATTTACTAGGAATGTATTTTAAATGTTGCAAAGAGTAACTTACAAATGGGATCCAGAAAGCCATGCCCCAGCCCTTTGGGAGGAGGACATCCCAGCCACTGCCCCATCCTAGTCGGTCTTCACCAGTCACTTTGCCCGGCTGTTGAATCAGAAGTATAGGTATCCTTGATTCATGGGGACCTAAAACAAGCTGAGACCCAGGCACCAGCAATTCACTTCTCATCCGGTTTAAATCCTAAAGTGGAAGAAAATAATTCAAGACAAATAACCCTAGTCTTCTACAAGATTCTATTGGGTCTTCTTACAAGGAGCTTTAGAAACTTAAGTGCTTTTTTAAAAAGCGGGGGGAGGGTTCTGAATAAATAAATGTAACCCATTATAAGCACAAAGTATTCCTCCTATAAAGATCTTCCTCTTACAGGGGCTTTGGTAGAAAATGCCTGCCAAATTGTCTTAAATTTGCTAAGATTGGGCTAGATGATTCAAAGTTATAAAATGATACATTCATTCTGCAATCTCACATCAGAATTAATCTCATATATTTATACTCTGTCCCTACATTTATTTGATTAAGAGTGGCATGAAAAAAGGAACAATTAATGACAGCTTCTTAAGGACAGGCAACTAGAAAAATATTCTGGTTCTTGAGAAAACTTCTCACCAGGTCTGAAAGACTTAAAATAGAAGATGCTATGAAGTATTTGTTAAGTGGAATATAAGTGGGACGACAACATCTCATCAGACTTTCCTTGCCAGCTGTAAAGAGAGATGCACAGGCAGGTGAGAGGGCCACCACTCAACTGAGAACACGACACACGACACACCTAACTCTACGACCTCATGCATGACCTCAGACACGCTCATCAAGGCATCACCAAGCCCGAGTCTTCTTTTTACCTTTGCTTGAGCTTCCACTGCTATCTATATACATATCATTCACTCCAAAGTACATTCCTCTTTAGTCCCGAGTTTCCCATCTGGAATTAAGTCCTGTCTCCTAGGTACCTCCTCTAAGAAGTGTCACAACCCTGAAGCACCTCCCCTTCCTACTGCATTCACCCTCCTCCTGCATCTGCTGTGTAGCTAAATGATGCTGTGACTCACACAGTTCATGCACCCATCCCCTCAGACAGTGACTGAGCGCCTCATGTGTGGGCATGTTCTAGAACCTGGGGACGCAGTAGTGAACAAGTCAAACATCGCTCTCGCTCTCTTGTAACTGAGATCCTAAACCCTAGCTGGAACCTTAGGTACTGATCAACAAATCCTACATCTTATTCCTTTTCTCAATCTGTTTTTTGGGGAGGTACTGGGGATTGAACTCAGGACTTTCACACGGATCTATAGCCCCAGTCTCTTTTTTTTTTTCAATTGTCTTAGGGTCTCCCTAAGACACTATTTTCCCCAGCCTGGGCTCAAACTTACAGTCTACCTGCCTCAAGCACCCAGAGTGCTGGGATTACAGGCATACACTGTCACTCCAACTAAGTCTCCTTTCTTCTCTTGCATCTGCCAGCCAACCACCAAGTGTCACCAATTTTGCCCTCCAGGAAAATAACACATTAAACTTCAGCAAAAAAAAAACTTCAGCATGTCCACTTCTGCCCTAATTCAAGTCCCATTGTGTCATACTTGGAGTATTTTAAGGATCTTTTAAGGCCAGCAACCCATCGTCCTTTCTCCAACTTCCCTGTCCCCCCAACTAATCTACCCTCCTTATGGCTGCCACAGTGAAACCCCATCATAGCATGGCCCACCTTAAAACCTTCAGCGGTGCCTTATATCCTCAGTCCAAGTCCTTGTTATGCCTCAAGCTCTTTTATGTGCTGGCCCTTAAATTTATCTCTTCAGTTTCATCTCCTGTCCCACTGCTGACTACCTCAAGTAATTGGAAGTTCATGAATACATCATCCTAATTTTGTTCTGGGCCACTGCACATGCTCTTCCCACTTCCTAAAATCTTTTCTCCACTGCAGCCTTGACCTTGCTCCCAAAAATTCAGTTAATTCTGATCCCACCTGAGAGGAAGTTCACATACCAGCTCTTCCACTCGGGAAGCCAGCTTCAGTTTCCCTAGTCTGGACTCAGGACCCTGTACTTCAACCATCCCCTAGTCACATATCCCAGCGTCTACTACAATGCCTGCCTCTGGTAGGAGATGGTATTTGAACCTATTCTCAAGTAGGAGTCAGAATTAACTAGACAGATAACATTCCAGGGAGAAAAAACACCAATAAAAGAAACACATATGTAAACCATGAGATTATCTCTTTGAGAAAAAGTCTGTATTTTTCCTAGAGATCATTCTTTCTGAGAACAGAAAAGAAATTACAGTGTGTGCCAGGCAGGGCAGCACACACTGTAATTCCAGCTATTCTGGAGACTGAGGCAGGAGGGTGGTTAAGTCCAAGCGCAGCCTGTGCCACTCAGTGAGACCCTGTCTCAAAATGAAAAAAGAAAAAGGGCAGGGGATGTAGCTCAATGCAAAGGCTCATTCTCTAGTACTGGGGAAAAAGAAAGGAAAGAAAAGAACAATATTATCATGAATAAGGAACCAAAAACTTGTTTTAAAATAAAAGGAAGTCTATTGGATTCTCTAAAGTATAAAATCACTTTTTATGGTCTCTAGAATGATGAGTTTCACCTGTCATTTGTGATTTTACCAGTGATCCTTACACTCTTAGTTACCTGATCCGAGATTTTATTCTCTGTGACACTCCTACAGATCTCTTGGTTCCAGATAAAGCTATGCGCACACTCCACTGGCACGCCCTCCTGGAGCAGCTGTCTAACTTGCTCATTATCTAAGAGGGAAAAGAAATAGCCTTCAAACCACATTCTTAGATCAATAACTCACACCTGAACACTAGCCCATTCATGACAAGAAAATAGCATATAGACAGTTACTTAACTAGAAGAAATTAAGTTATTGTCAGAGCTGGTTTCACAGCCATTGAAATAGCAAAGCCTGCTGAACTTTTCTCTTTGATATGTATTTTTCATGCAGAAGATCCAAATATTACAATATTAAATTCCCTCTTGATAACTGCCTAATATAAGAATTTGCAGTAATCAAATTCTCAATCATTTTCTTCTGCCTCTTATCTCAACTCTCTGATAACCCATTTTTATGGACCTATTTAGTCCTTTTTATGAAACGTGTTTCTCTATTCCTTTAAGATGAACATATTTCCTATGAAACATATGGTTTTATCCCTTTAAGCAAGCGACTCCATGCTAGAAAGGGCTCTACTGGAGAAGGAAAAGGAACATTTTCAGTAATAAACACCAGTATTGATAGAAGACACTTTCCCCATGAGGTCACTTAATCATCAAGGGAAAAAAAATCTCTAACTTCTAAATCTAAGTTTATTAGACTGAAGAATCAAAAGCAACAAAGTTAGACAATCCATGAATTTTGACTATGGCTCCAAAATGCCAACACAGAGAAAGCACGTACCTCTGAGGGTCTGATGGCTAGGAAAACTAAGTTCAAAGTAACCAGGCCAGAGTGTAATAGATTTCAGGGGAGAACAAAGAGAAAACTAAATGATGAACAGATCTGAGATGAGAGCTGCTTAGACAGCAACGGCTTCTGTGCATGCTCCTCTCTCAGAGACACTAACCAGGGGTCTCAGGCACCAGTGCAGAGTGTTGGGAAGGTTCACACCACCTGTCTAAGAGCAAGCAACAAGCTTCATTCCACCAGCCCTGGTCTACCCAGATTGCTTTCCTGTGGAGCACTGCTGCAGATCAGAGTGACAGAATTGGGTGGGATATTACTCAGATGGAGTTGCAGACCAAAGAAACAGCTGACACATAGGGTGTAAAGCACAGAACACCACTGCCTCAACTTCAAATATTCTAGATGAAGGGATATTATTCATCACTGAAAAGAAATGAACTATCAAGTAATGAAAAGACATGGAGGAACTGTGAGGGCATATTAAAGAGGGAGAAGCCAATCTGAAAGGGTACAAACCATATGATTCCATTTTATGGCACTCAGAAACTATGGAGACAGTAAAAGGATCAGTGGCTGCCACAGCTGGCAGGGAGGGAAGCTGCAGCCTTCAAATTCACTCTACTTTATAAATATGCAGATGGGTTGAAGGTGCCTGCCTGAACCTATTAGGATTATTATTATTTTTTTTTTTTTGGTACCAGGGATCGAACTCAGGTCCTTGCGCTTGCACAGCAGGCAGCGAACCCACTGCGCTAAATCCCCGGCCCCTGAACCTATTAGGATTTTTTCCTCCCAGGAACAGAAACAAAGAAGTCATGGCAAAATGACCACTAACTTGGCACTCCTGGAAGCCAACTGTAACTCTGTGATCTAAAAGTGCTTGCAAGAGCTATAAAAAGTAAATACCATTCTGAAGCCAAATAGACTCTCCCCATGCTATCTCACAAAGTCCTATAGCCAGGATGTTTAAAGAGAAAGATGAAGACAAGCTTATGAACACAGTGTAATTTCAGTATTTTCTTTGTCCCTTTCCTCTTTTTTTTGGAGGCGGTGGTGATGCTGGGGATTGAAATCGGGGCCTTGCACAAGCTAAGCATGTGCACTACCACTGAGCTATACCCCATATTCGGTATTAAAGCAAACTCCTCCTAACAGACAAGGACTAGTTAAAATGACGTATTAGAGCAAGTCAGCAAACGCTAAGGAAAGCAGATAAAGTAACAAATAGTACAATACAGATCTGGGTGTTTTTTAAATTTGTTTTGCTGTATGTTTTTTGGTTTTGTTTCTGTTTACCCTGGTGCTGGCAGTTAAACCCAGGGCCTTGTACAAGGCAGACGCGAGTATTACACGGAGCTACAACCCCCACCTCAGCCCCAGGTATGTATTTTTAAGTCTCACCTAGAAAGCCAGTTACTTGCATAATGAAATGCTGTATTAATAAACTCAAAAGTATTTATAAAAACACATTATTAATATTTAATTCAAACCTAAAAACCAATGACCAAGTAAACTTCTTCAAAGCATCTGAGAATATACATCATCACTTCAGGTTCTTCATGTACCTTCTCTTTTAAAGGCTCTGTGGTCCTCAGGACACACAAGAAACTAAAGAGTTTGTTATCCAAAGCAGGCAACTCTATGGTTTAACTAGCCCAGAACTGATCTTTCTCATCTAAGCCAAAAGAGGCAGAGAATGACTTCAGATACAGACTGAAATTACATCAGAGAATTAGGTCTTTCCATCATCCTGATGTTGTAAATAATTTTTCCAAGGATTAATCTTATGGGCCCAGCCCACCAAAGTATACTTCTACCCTTGGAATTTTTGGTTTTTTGGTTTTTGGGGGGTTTTTGGTATTTCTATAGTACTGGGAACTGAACCCAGAAGCTTTCACATGCTATGCAAACATTCTAGTGTTATGCTACATCCCCAGCCCTTTTTATTTTTTATTTTGAGTCAGGGTCTCATTAAGTTCGTGAGGCTAAACTGAAATTTCACTTGTGATCTTCCTGCCTTAGCCTCCCAAGGTGTGTGTCATGGCGCCCTGCTCTATCCTTGGTTTTGACTTATGTTCCAGGATATTACACTTGTTAATAATACAGTACTAAGTCCTTAAGATGTATACTTTTTTTTTTTTTTTTCATGCCAGGAATCAAACTTGGGTCCTTGTGCTTACACAGCAGGCGGTGAAACCACTGAGCTAAATCCCTGGCCCAAGATGTATACTTCTTAATGTAATCTCATGTAACCAGATAAAATACATCTGCAACGAAACTACAGCATTTAAAACAAGTCTGGGGTTGGGGGTTTAGCTCAGTGGTACAGAACTTGCCTAGCACTCATGTATGCCCCAGATCTGACTGTCTAGGTCTGCCCACAAAAAAGGTTTTAATGAGCTATTGCAATAACAGCTAACAGGATGGTAAGCTTTTATCATGGAAATTCAATCATATATTTCAAAACATTTTAATTTTCCTTGAACTGATTTATAGTAAGATAAAAGCCTTAGAAAGGATTTAATATATACTGCTTCATTCCAGAAAAGAATTTGAGGTAACAAGAGAAATGAACCAGGGCTGGGGATTTAGCTCAGTGGTTCCACCACCTGCCTCGCAAGTGCAAGGTCCTGAGTTCGAACTCCAGTACCAAAAAAAAAAAGGGAAGAGAAATGAAGTAGAGTTTAACTATAGCTTTAAGACAATTAAGATAGCATTTATAATGGTGTAGAAGACACTACAAGCTTTATGGTTGCACTAAATGATACTGGCATTAAAAAAGAAGACAACTCATTGATTAAAATCTTAGGCTCCATAATTAACTAACTTACCTATGTATCTTCAGAGTCCTCTTTCATCCTATCCACCTTTTATGTGATGGTCTCACAGTGTAATTTATTGCCCCCTTAATATGCTATTTAATGTACTATCTAATACATTAAAAGGATAGTAAATACAATGAGGCATTATCACAACTGCTACAAATCCCAGATCAAACTAAAATTCTAGCCACCCCAACCCACCATCCCAGGCCCATCCCAGCCAAACAGCTCCCTCAGGCCCTCTCCAATCAAAACCCAGTCATCTGACACTCTAGCACCTGGGATGGCCTTGCCAGGATTCGAACCTGGATCATCTGTATAGTCAGACAGAGGCTTCCAATGAGCACAAGACCAGCTGCGGGTGCAGATCCCTTCCTCACAATTAACATTCTGAAACACCAGGCATTGTCAGAGAGTCCAGTTTGCAGAGAGACAGGTTTTACTGGATATTAAAACACAGAGAACTCAAAAAGCAAATAAGCAAACATAAATATCCAGCTACATGGTTTACACCTACAAGATACTTCCACACACACCATGCCCTTTGATTGCACCACCCTGAAGGGAGGTAACTAAAGAGCCCCCTGATTTTTCACAGGTAAGTTACTGCAGAAGTGTAACAGACAGAATGCTCTTAACAGGACTGGCATGATCAATAGAATAAGGAAAACCATAGGTGCAAGTGCTTTACCTTGGCATTTTTCTGGGTTGGACAAAGCTTCACAGCGCTTCTGAGGCAAATTTATTCGAGGGTCCCCCACCGTGAGTCCCAGAATAGTACCTGCTGGGATTTCTGCTGGTGATGTTATTCCTTTAATAAAACAAAGGAAAAATAAGCTTACAGCAAGTCACTCATAATACATATATATTTTCTTAGGTTTCAGATTTTCTAATAAAAAATTTTCTTTGGGCTAATTATTTAAAAACATGTCTTTCCTTTTATTCCCCACTGATACTTTTAGAGAATAAATTAACATTCAAAAAAGGGATGTTTCTTGCAAAAAAAAAAAATTAAGCTGACATGAAAGAAGTTATTTCACAATGCAAGCACATATGCTTCTATCAGTGATAACTATTAACTGCTGCAGGCACAAAAACAACCAGCAGACTAAGTTTAAATGTTAGGGTCAGTACCTGGTATATGCATTTATCTACCTCAGAATGCCAGTTATTTAGAATAGTAACATCACCATGGTGAGTCATTTCATAAACAAACATGAATACAGTGTTTCATTAAGTCAGGTACCTCTCTTACTTGCTTTTCTTGCTATATCATAACCAACCACAGTAAGATAAGAGCAAGACTACTTATAGGAAGCCCAACAGCATATGCTCTCTTAACCCATGTCTTTCTCCTCTCTTCCGGCCTACTACACCCCAGTGCTCCCTCTGTTTACCTCCCAACAGCTCAAAAATGGCTTCCTGTCTGCGATGAAGGGAAACACTATCAGTGTTCCTACAGGCATCAATCCACCAGCGGTGAGGTGTCTCCTCTGTGTCCTCTTCCCCCTAAAAAAAAAGGTCCTCCTCACCAGGTGCAGGGTGAATCAGATTTAATAACAATGCAGTCTTGGGAGCCACCCCTTCTGTTTCTGTTTGTGGGAACGACTGTTTTATGAGGAGTGGCTCAGTTAAAGCAGTAATTAGTATCAAACTAAGTACTCTTCTAATTAGAGGCAGGGACATAGTGTTATAAATTTCTGTCCAGATTTCACACACTAGTAGGAAATACAGCCCTGATTTTCAAAGAGACTACCTAAATAAGCCACTTCTCACCTCCAGATTTCTGTGGAGCGCAGTTCCTTTTAATAAGAAAGGCCTTGGTCCTCTCCCACCTGATCACACCAGTACTTTCAGAAGACGTCTTCAGGTAAAAGATGCATTATTACTACAGAATTCTTTAAAATGTTTCTAAGATGCATGAGTGCTCCATAAATACCTTTTCCTGACAGAACCAGGAGTTGCATGAGGTTTCAAAAGGCAGTTCAAGCATTGGGCACACGCCAAGCCAAGAGAACCAGCAGCCAAGATTCACAGTGCAGCTCAGAGAGGCACCATTCACCTCACAGAACTGTGGTATCGAATCAGAGGGGTCTCAAGTACAGACTCCAAACTTTCTAGATCCAAATCTCTACTCCACAGCTGTGAGCTACTGTGGAGCACCTTCTACAAAGTGCCATGCTGCACCCTGGGGACACAACACAATACCCTTGCTGTCATGAGGCTCACAGTCTATCTAACAAGAGAGGCAGACACAGCATAAATGCATGAACAAGTCTGAACACATAAACTGAGGAAATGTGCATAGCACAACAGGAGGGACATGATGTAACCCGAGGGATCAGGAAAGGGCTCTAGAGGGAAGTGATGTAGATTGAATGAGGCAGGCGGAAACTGGAAGAATGAGAATGATTTAGCCAGGCAGAATGGAGGGAGAATGTCCAGGAAGCGGAAGAAAATCAGCACAAAGGCTCTGAGGGAGATGAGAAGTGACACGTCCAGGATCTGAAAGGCCAGTGTTAGCAACATGCAAAAGTGACGAGAGAGGAGGCCGCAAAGGCAAGAAGGTCCCACGTTATTCGAATCACATTAGGGCTCTGGATTTCACCTTAAAATCAACAAGCTACCCAGAAACTTTTAATTGCAAACCAAAAAGTAAATAAAGTGTTAAAAGATTACTGTGTCTCTTGCATGGAGCATAGCTAAAGAGCAGGAAGCCCGGCCAGTACTGCCAGCCAGAGACAAAAGCAGTAGAAACTAGGCAGAAGATGGAGCGAAGCCACTTGTTTTTTAAAGCTTCTTTTTTCTAAAAGCTCAAAATTCATTCAACTCTGTCATAGTTGACCACATCAGATCTGTGAGCACAGGCCCTGAGAACTTAACTGCACTAAGACAGGAAAACACACAGGACCTGTACCTACATGGGCGAATCCTAATCTAGTCTCTATGCCTTAGAGCTGTGCTGTCCAACACAGTAGCCACGAGCCACAAAGTCATTTACCCTTAATTCCTGCTTAATTAAGAGAGCAGAGATGCAAACTCACTCCCGAGTCACTTTGTAAACATTCAGGAGCCTCATGTGGCTCGCGTCTACTATACTGAGAAGCACAAAGGGCCATCATGCTTGCAGAAAGCCAGATCAGCAGTGCTGGGCTCGACATATTACTCTTTCCCTTTTTGGAGATGACAGAAACCAGCCCCAGAGAAGATGCATCACACAAGTCAAACACTCGAAAGCTGGCATACAATTTCAGGGATTTCAGAGGCATCCTGTTTCCTACACAGAGTTTGTATGTAAATAAAAAGTCACAGTTTACTTATCACAAGCTCTTAGATGTGGTCTTCTAGAAGAAAGAGATAAAAAGTTCTCTGATAAGTAGGGAATATTTAAAAGCTATGGCCCAAAATATTATCAAATTACAGTATATATTGGGTTTCAGAAATCTGCTGAGAGGGCCGGGGATTCAGCTCAGTGGTTCTGCCGCCTGCTGCGCAAGCGCAAGGACCCAAGTTCGATCCCTGGTACCAAAAAAAAAAAAAAAAGACAAAAGAAATCTGCTGAGAAAAACATGCCCAGAAAAAAGCTGCCAATGCACTTGTACTCTTACCACATGGACAGAAGCAGCTTTCAGTGCCTCCGTTAGGACAGAGTGGGAAAGGGGGCCGATAAGCCGGAATCTACTCATCTCCATGGTCAAGTCACTGAAAGACAGAAAAGATCTTACGGTGGGAACTTGCATCATGTACAGAGCCTGTGCCACTGGCAAAATGGGGTCTTTGCCGGAAATGTTCAGTGGACTCAGAGTGAATCCAACCCAGACCTGATTATAACGCCTGTGTCTGCAGAGACCCAAGAATACGGTTGATGTGGATCTCTAGTCCCATCACCAACAATTTTTGTAACTGGTTTAGCATTTTCTTCATCGTCTCTCCTTTTTCTTTTCTTGCCAGTTTTCTCATCAGTCATTTCAGTTTGGCATTTTCCTTGAGACAGTGTTGGAAGTGGGTTAGGTAAGCCGACAGGTGACTGGATGGGTTCCAAACACTGGCACACAGTTTTTATCTCCTCTAAGATATCCTAAGGGTATAGAACACATTTATTTTTAAGTTTTGAAATATAAATACTTCTTACAAGTTTCATTATATATTTTACCCTTTATAAAAATTTACTTTATATTTTACCCTCTTTTTTTTTTTTGGTACCGGGAATTGAACTTGGGTCCTTGCGCTTGTGCAGCAGGCGGCGAAACCACTGAGCTAAATCCCTGGCCCATATATTTTACCCTTTTAAAAATTAACATTTTGGGCCAGGGATTTAGCTCAATGGTTCCACCGACTGCCTCGCAAGCACAAGGACCCAAGTTTTTTAAAAAAGTAACATTTTGGAGGCTAGGGATATAGGTTAGTGAGCACATGCTTAGCATGCTTGAGGCTCTGGGTTGCATCCTCAGCACTGGATTTTAAAAAAAAAACAAAAAAAACTATTTTTCACATTTCTATCCCTCAAAAGCTTTTTGTGCCAGGCATGGTGGCGCATGCTTGTAATCCCAGCACTTGGGAGGCAGAAGCAGGAAGATCACCATAAGTTCAAGGCCAGCCTAGACTACACAGTAAGTTTAAGGCCAGCCTGAACTACATAGCAAGACCGTCTCAAAAAACAAAACAATCAAACAAAAAGGCTATTTGTATAGTACTTGGAACTAAAAAAGAACCAAATGTCAAATATTATGAACACAATATGACCATTATGACCAAATTAAAAAAGAAAAAAGAGGTCGGGGGATTTAGCTCAGTGGTTCCGGAGCCTGCCTCACAAGCGCAAGGTCCCGAGTTTGATCACCGGTACCAAAAAAGAAAAAGAAAAAGGAAAAATAAGTTTAAAAAAAAAATTGTAAAAACTTTACAGCCTACAGTATAAAAATAATGCTAAAAAAAGGAAAACTAAGCTAAATTGCAGAATTAAAATTCACAGAATTACTGAAGCTTCTCATTATCAAGTAGGGTGTCATAAGCAGCTAGACCTCGGTGAATCAGCCCAAGCAAGAAGGAAGCACTAATCCAGAGGTAACATTTCAAATCATTAGCATAGAAGGTTGCTTTTCATCTCCACTGCTCCTTACAGTTTACGGAAAAATGAGAGGTTGAGATTTGCCTCATTCTATAAGATGGACATTATTACATGGGTAGTAATGGATGTGATGTCATTTGATGTGGTAATCATTACATAATGTATATATGTATCAAGTCATTATGGTGTGTACCTTGAACATATCCATGTTTTATCTGTCACTGAAATATTTTCAAATAAATATTTTAAAGATTAAAAAAGAATCTGTTTCATTCAATATTCACACAACTTTCATTACATTCTAATGCTAACTATCAGCTAAACTTTTATATTACTGTATTTAAATTTCACTAACACTGACTTCTTTCAAAATGTAGTAGTACAATGATGGAGAAATAATACAAATCATCATACCTGTTTAAGAGTTGGATGAAGCCAAATCCACAACTGCCTGCTCTCAGATGTGCCACCAGAGGTCCCCTCTGACTTCCAAATAAACGTAATGGGCCCAAGCATTTCTCTCGGATATTTATTTGCCCGGTAAAGAACAAGATTCCCTTGGTGCTTTCCAGACAAGCAGTGAACTGCTGCAAAGGTCAGGCCTGACATAAACACAAGCAAAATACTCTGATCTCAAGTGTCGGCACTGCAATATTATTTCCCCCTAGGCACACTGTTTTTTACTTGTCTCCAGGAGGAATGAAATTTTGGTTTCACTTATTGCTTAGATGAAAGCCTGGCACATAGTTAAGTTCTCAACAAATATTTATTAAATGAGTGATTTAATGTGTTTTTATAAAAAACTGAAACTAAGATCACTCCACCAGAATGACTACTTCACTTTACACCTAACAATGTTATAGACTTAAATGCCATCCCAACTTTTCTCAAATGAGCACTCCCACTGGGACAGTCTTATGTTTAAATTTCAAAATGCTTACACCAGTTATTCATAAAATGAATAAATGTACAAAGACTAAAATAGGATCCAGCTTTGAAACAAGATTACCTGCATCTAAGCTACACATTTGAGAAAGTGCCTTGAGTATTTCCTCCTCTTTGCCCTTCAACTCCAAACAACAGTAGTAGGACAAATCCTGCATGAAAAGGAAACACAATTAAATTGTTTAGAAATTACATAGGGCAAAACTACCAAGAAGCCAAAAGCTCTGAGGGGGTCAAAAGAACAAATTACCAAAGTTAAGGTTTTCAATATCAAAACCTGACATTACATTAGCAAATAGTCTTAAACCAATGTGAATCAAAACGAAAAATGAATCCCCATTTAAATGTAAGTGTTCTTTCAAGCAAGAAAATCTGTTTTCTCCCATACTCAGAGGCAAGTCCAAAGTAGGGTATAAAAATGGTTGCTTTTAAGCAAAAGTTTACTCATCCCCCCAAAATCTACATAAGATAAGAAACTACAGTAGAGTAAGGGAGACAGTAATAAATTCTGCAAAATTATGCTAAGTTGCTCAGTCTGGTTAGCTAGTGCAGAACCTCAGGATTATGTAACACTGAGCCGAGACACAATGTTACAATGATTTTATCCCATATTCTTCCCAAGCTCAGTCTTGTCCACCATAGGGAACTTTTAAAAAGCAATGTATAGGGAAAAATAAGGGTAATGCGAGTAAGAATTTACCAGCTTAAGTAAGATGAGGTAAAACTGAACTGAGTCGGTGAGATCAATACCTTAAAAAACTGTAACAACAGTTGTAGCACTGAGGGGTTCCTGACTGCTAGGCACTGGGCTAACTCCTTACAAAATTGTCATTGTCAGGCTGGGGATTTAGCTCAGTGGTTCTGGCGCCTGCTGTTCTGCTGCCTGCCTCGAAAGCACAAGGTCCCGAGTTGGATCCACGGTACCAAAATAAAAAAAACTGCCTCACAATATTGTCATTGTCTTCCCCACCGCCTAACAAAGCAGGTCCTATTGCTATCTCACAGGTGAGGACACAGAGGCACAGAAACAGCTGCTTGTGCAAAGTCATACAGTCAAGCTGGAGCCTGAAATTAAAGCAGGCTCTCTGACCCCAAACCCCTTGGCCACACCTTACACAATTTACTACGTACACTCAGCAACTGGAGCTAAAGGCAAATTATAGCTATGATTCTGACAAAATCCGATCAACCAATGCCACCACTAGCACACAGAAATCTTCCTCCTAACAGTGACTCGCTTTCAGCTAACAGTGGCAGATGAATCTCCCCCAAACTGGTACAGCTGGGTGACATAGAGAATAGTGGCGGGAGTGTGGAGCTCTTGAGTCAGCTTCACCACTCCCTCACTTTCCTCTTCTGTAAAACGGAAACCATGGTAGCTGCCTGCTTCACACTGTTGCTGCAAAGACTATAAATGAGCAAACCTGCAAAGCATATAAAAAAGGGCAGTTGTATATTAAGCACTCTAAAGTATTTGTTCCTAATAGCTATGACTTTTATAACTCAGGCCTGATCAAATATTAAGAAAATATTTGATGACTTCAGCAAAAATTCTGCCCTAAATAAAAAGTAACACATTCTGAAATAACTGTCTTAAACTTGAGAGGTGACAAAGTACAGTGGGAAAAGCATAGGTTAGAAAAATCAGGTGCTCAAGTGCTGTCAAGACCCCCAACAAGCCACGTGGTCCTGGGCAGGCCACTTCATCTCTCTCAAACTCAGCTTTCTCGATGTAAAGGAGGGCCTTGATCACACCTATCATTTCTGCTGTGGAGTTCACAAATCAAAGGCTCTTAAAAGCTTCTTACATTCACTTTACATTGATTAGACTAGTGATCATCAAAAAAATACAAAATTTAAAAAATACACAAAATAACACGTGTTGACAAGGATATGGAGAAATGGAACCTTTGTGCACCACTGGTGGGAATGTAAAAGGATGCAGTTGCTATGGAAAATAATGATACCTCAAAAAATTAAACATAGAATGATCATATGACCCTGAAATTCTACTTGTGGCTATATATTTACAACAGCCGAAAGCAGACACTCAAATGGTATTTGTAGCATTTTTGATCATAGTTACATTATTCAGCCAAAAGGTGGAAGCAACCTATGTGTCCATCACAGACAAAGAGGTCAACAATTATGCACACAACAGAGTATTATTCAGCCTTAAAAAGGAAGGAAATTCTGACACGTGCCACAGCATGGATGAGCATCAAAGACATTATGCTAAGTGAAATATACCCAAAACAAATGGACAGATATTGTATGATTCCACTCATGCTAGTATCTAAAGGAGTCAAATTAAAAGGCAGAAAGTAGAACGGCAGTTGCCAGGGCCTAGGGGAGGGAGGAATAGGGACTCTGTCTACCAGGTACAGAATTTCAGTTTAGGAAAGTGAAAAGTTTTTGGAAATGGATGATGGTGATAGCCACATAACCACAATACTGAATACCAAAAGAACTGTTCAATTAAAAATTGTTCATTGTTCAATGGTAATTCTGTATCATGTCCTTTACCCCAATTTTCTAGAAAAGGCTTTTATTATCTGCTATATTGCTCTCAAGAGATATCAGAGGACACTAATACCAATGGCTTTTAAAATTTGGCCAAGGCCATCATGCCACTGAAAGATACACCCTTCTGCAAGGAATAAATTTCTAAGTATGTACTGGAAGAGAGAAAGCAACTGCACTAGCCACTGTTGATAAACTGCATTATGAAGCTCTAAAACAAAATGTCCTCTCAAGGAGTTTAAATCATGCTTCCCGGCACGCCACTGAATCATACACACCTAGACCGGCACTGTGAGCACTGAACAAGGAATCTCAGTATCTGCCACTGCTGCTGAATGACTATTTGATTAATCTACTCTGAGTGAGTCTTAACCTGACAACAAGAGCCTGCATGGGCTCTTTCTACTTATGCCTCCAATCTAATCTCACCCTAACAGTCGCCTTGCTCTCAGTCTCTCCACCTTTGTCACAAAGAACCTGTTCTAATTTTCACTCTCATCCAGCTTCCTTCTGCCTTCCTCACTCTCCCATCTTATTCCTAAACTCAACTTATCCATCACGGCCAGGCGCCTTCCATTTCCCATCAGAAACATTCACTGCACTGCATTATTTTCTCTTACCACCATATACTTAGCTAATTTGGTCACTGTTAACCTCTCCCACCAATTTTAGGCTCCAGTACCCAGCAAAGTTCCATAGTCATCGTTTTCAAGATGGACAGACTTGGGGCCGGGGATTTAGCTCAGTGGTTTCGCTGCCTGCTGCGCAAGTGCAAGGACCCGAGTTCGATCCCCAGTACCAAAAAGAAAAAGAGGGACAGCCTCACAGATAGGACCCTGGCATACCATGAACTATTCTAAAGGTCAACATTGGAAAGGGTCTAAACAAAAAGAAAAAGCCCACGGAAAAGCGTACCTGAAGGAGGCAACGGTTTGTCATGGCTCGGTAGCAGGCTCTGTGGCTTTTGACTGTGGGCCTCTCCCCAAGGCAATAGCCCCACCTCTTCACCATGTGAAACCGTTTGGCATGCCAGATGTGAGTTTCTAACCATATGTTCTTCTTTTGTCTACGGTTAAATTCTTGTGTCCGGTTTATGTGACATCTTCGAGCTTTATGGCATTTATTTTTTGAATGTTCTTTTTTCTGATGCACAGCCTTCTCTGCCTACAGTTTCAAGAAGAGAGGTAGAGCTTAGTTTGTAAGCATCTCAGAACCAGGTTAAATATTAGAAATTCAAACACGTCACTTCAGAATTAAGTACAGACCCCATTAGTTTGCTTAATTTGTTAATTTGCTGGTTTCTCCAGTGTAAATAGAAAATGGAGACAATGGAAAGAGTAAAAATTTAGAGATAGGTAATCCTAGAAAGAAAGCACATTCATCACTCACTAAAACGAGTAAGCTTTGGGGCTGGGGATTTAGCTCAGTGGTTCCACCACCTGCCCAGCAAGTGCAAGGATCCGAGATCAATCCCCAGTACCAAAAGATTTAAAAAATTAAAAAATAAATAAATAGGTCCGGGGATTTAGCTCAGTGGTACCGCCTGCCTTGAAAGCAGAAGGTCCCAAGTTCAATCCCTGGTATGTATGTATGTATGTATAAATAAATCAATGAATAAATAAATAAATAAAATGGGTAAACGTCATCCGCTGTAAAGATGAGGATATTTATGAGATTTCAATAGTTACACAAGTGTAATGTGGCTATTTACAGAGGACAAGAAAAGTAAGTCAAATGCTAGCTGTTGCTGCTGCTTCTTGCTTTAACCTGTAGGAATGTAACTAAAACCAAAAATGTAAGACCAAAATACAAAAGCGGAGAAAATTCAATTAACTTAAGATGCAGACAATGCTAAATGGTATCAGTGGAAAACAGACTTTATATTAAATCTAGAAAGTACAAAATTCTTGGTTAGTTTTCATTCTTTTCCACAATCAAGCTATACTTTAGTGAAAAAAAATTCTATATTAATTTGTGACCCTCATAAGGATAAGGACTTCATCTCACTGAACTCTAACCCCACCCCTCTCACAGTACTGGTACACTGAAGGCCACTCAATAAATTCTGAATTACTAAAGACACAGATAGCTTAAACAACATTAAAATATTCAAGTCCAGAATTTTGGCTATATTAAGCCACAAGTAGATTGCACAAAAATTAAAATGAGTTCAAGCTTTCAACTTTGAAAAAGTCACACAGTAAATGCTAACCACTGATGTTGCCTTTACAGAAGCAAAATGATAATCTGATAAGTCAGAATTTTACTTTACATCTAGGAAGAAAAACATCAACTATTTCACACCATTAAAAGAGAGGAGTTCCAAATTCTACTCTTTTAAAGTGGCTTTAATATCTCAATGCCTATTAATATAGCTTAAGGAAGGTGGGGAGGGCTAGATAAAAAAAAAATCAAAAAAAGAAAAAAATATAATGAGTATGTTGCTTTCTGATTTTCCTCTTTTTTTTTTTTCCTTTTGGTACTGGGGATCGAACTCTGGATTTTCCACTTGTGAGCCAGGCGGTGGAACCACTGAGCTAAATCCCCGGCCCTGATTTTCCTTTTTCAAATATCTTTTAAGCGAGTGTTTCTCAGTTTCTTCTAGGAAATATCAACCTAAATACCCACATTAAGTGACACTCCTACCTCCTTCTGGGCCATTTCCTGCAGTCGTCTGGGAAGGCGTTTGACATTGTGGCTCATGGCCCTCCGTCTCATGTGCCGTGGCAAGGTCTGGAAAACCAGTGAATTAGAAGACTTCTGGGTCACGGCCCTTAACATAGCACTTATTTCAGCAGCTCGTGCTTGGGCGAAAGTAGCAGCTGTTGAAGGAAATGACATGGTGAAAACGAAGTCCTGCATCAACAGCTTTTCCAGTGGATTCCAGAAGGAAGACAGATTTGAAATATGTGAGCTTATAGTTCACCCACCACTCTAAACCGTTAGATAAACACTGACAGTAGTTATTTCTGTTACACCATTGTTACAAGATTCTCCTCCAATTTTTATTTCAAATTTCCTACTGTTTTATTTTCTAATCCAAAAAAAAGTTTAAAAACAACTTTATAAGGAGGCTTTAAACAGAAGGATCTCCGTGAAGTACACCGAGTCTGCCCAAAAATGTGTACACACTTCAAGGAAAAAGAAAAACTTGCATAAATATTTTAGTAGCCCTGATGTAACAGTTCTGCAGACTTTTATCTATGGGGGACACTAAAGAATGCCGTGTATCATGGAAAACTCACTACACTGCAGGCCCTTAAGAAAAGAAACTGAAAATGCACGTGCAGCTATCTCAATGGACACTCTGACCAAGGTTACCTAAGATGCAGTTCGCCATACTAATAAATGTCTGGAAGCTAATGGCCACCACGTTGAGCACCTCTTGTAGAAGACAAAGGCAACTTGTATTAATCTCATGATGTCTTAGTAAATTTAGAATTAAAATATTTATGCAAGTTTTTCTTTTCCTGAAGTGTGTATACATATTTTTGGCAGACTCTGTATATATGTGCAATATAATCACACCCTTTTTAAGAACAGAAAAAAATGTTTAACTGTAGTTTTTACACCAAACATTTGTTTAATACTTTCTGCTTTTTCCAAACATGGAACTAATATTTTTGATTCTCTTTATTGAAAAACATATTCTTTTTAAGTAGTAAACAGGGTGCTAGGGAACTATAAGTGAATCTGTCCAAGGCATGGAGAGGCCAGAAGGTATATCTAAAGGGTACGCAAAGAATCTAAGGTTTATGTGGCAGAGGAGATGGAGGTGATGAAGGGACAATGGGAGATGAGTCTGGAGAGCACCTGATGAGAGACTTTTAAACAAAGGTCTTGGCTGCAATTAGAGTGTGTTAAGTTTGCTTCCATCTTTGGGGAATGCCACACTAACAAGTGTGAATGGAATGTTATAGAAGGTTGGGATGGGAGTTCAGAGTTAAGTTCACAAATAAAGACTTAAAAGATGGATAATAGAGAACTTCGATCTATTCATTTTGGAAGGGCATATTTCAGCCCCTAACACTGAATTTAAGTCTGCTTTCTTTTCTTTTTGCCTGTGGGTATTGAGCACCTACTATGTTGCAGACATTCTGTTAAACGCTGGTAATAAGATGTGGTCTCTGCCTGGCAAGGTTTGCGGTAAGGTTCCCAGACTGGCTTGTCGGGTCAAAGAGCCACGTTTAAACTGAGATATCTACGAGGTTAATGAGTCAGCAACCTGTCAAACCTCGAAAAGCGAAAAGCGGGTTACAAAGGCAGAGAGGGCAAGGCCGGCCAGCCCCTTACTACGACGTCCCGCCCCGTTGTCTTTGGCCGCCGCCAATTCTCCCAGAAAGCGTCTCACTCCGCTCCAACAATAAGGGCCCCGTCGCGCCGCGCCCCTCGGAGGAGTCGCGGACGCCAGAGCCACCTGGGAGGAAGTTAGAGGAGCCGCGTGGCCATCATAACCGCCATAACCGCTATGCCTAAGAATAAAGGTAAAGGAGGTAAAAATAGACGCAGAGGTAAGAATGAGAATGAATGTGAAAAAAGAGAACTGGTGTTCAAAGAGAATGGGCAAGAATATGCCCAGGTAATCAAGATGTTGGGAAATGGACGATTAGAAGCAATGTGTTTTGATGGTGTGAAAAGATTATGTCACATCAGAGGGAAACTGAGAAAAAAGGTTTGGATAAATATCTCAGACATCATATTGGTTGGTCTCCGAGACTACCAGGATAACAAAGCTGATGTGATTCTAAAATACAATGCAGATAAAGCAAGAAGTCTAAAAGCATATGGCGAGCTTCCTGAGCATGCTAAGATCAATGAAACTGATACATTTGGTCCTGGAGATGATGATGAAATTCAGTTTGATGACATCGGGGATTATGATGAAGACACTGATGATATCTAAATTGAACCCAACATTGTACATTCCAGTTTTTCGGAAGATTATCCTACAGTTTGGATTTTGGTCATAACCCTCCAAGAAGAAGTTTTCATTAGCATGACCGTAATTTATTAAGGCAGTTTGATTTGGTTCTAAGGTATCTGTTTCTGTAAAAACTGTTAATGCTGAATTATCTTAAGTAAAATGTTAAGCCCACTTCATTCTTTTGATGTAATGGCGTTCACGGGTAGAAGACCACAAGTATTTCAAAAATAGTGCATTACTGCCTTTCTGGCTCTGACCACTCCCAGTTAAGTAAATGGGTGTTTTGAATTTAAAAAAAAAAAAAAGATGGGTAATAGAAGGGAGAGAAATGGAAAAGAAAAGAGCATCAGGCCTAAGGAAGTTATAGTCCAAGTCCAGGCTGGGGGTGAGAGAGCCCAAGTAGATGGAATAAAGGAGAGAGGCAACAGACACAGAGCCAGGACACTGAAGAGGGTGATTTATATGCGGCTGCACTAAAAACAAAGAGCACATAACACAATCTGACTGAGTTTCCTTTCTAGTACCCACCTGTTATATACTTGGGAATCTCCTGAGAAGTCCCATCAGGACCTGCTTTCCAGCCTCCCTTTTTTTTAAACGTGAGTTTGGAGGAAGACTGCTCATTCATATTAGGCTCGGGCTGCAAATGGGGCGTCATCTTGGTTTGCCGCTGTCTTGTCATTCCAGAATGAGGTTCTAGTGCATTTTCAAAAAGAAACAGGTCACCCTTACCAGAGATAAGGATTACAGTGCACAACTAACATTTGGTGGGTTGTAACATTATGTTTTTAATCCTACAGCAACCCTCAAGGTGGCTATTATTATTTTCTCTTTCTATAAGAGGAAGGATCTCAAGAACAGAGGTGAAATAACTGGCCCAGGTCACAGAGCTAATCGTGACAGTATGACATATAAAGAACTTTAGCTAGAACAGGTTCAAGGAAAATGTCTCTATTGCATACTTAAAGTGCAACATGAATTTTAAACCTAGGTTCCTTGCTATGGTCTGAATGTTTGTGTCCCCTGCAAATTCACATACTGAAATTCTAACCACCAAAGTGGTGGTGGTAGGAGGTGGGGCCTTTGGGAGGTGATAATGTCAGGAGAACAGAGCCCTCATGAATGAGATATAATGTCCTTTATAAAAGAGGCTCCAGAAAGATCCCTCACCCCTCCACCATGTGAGAACGGAGAAAGTGGCATCTGTGAACCAGACACTGAATCTGCTGTTTGATCATGGACTGCTCTGCCTCCAGAATGGTGAGGAATATACTTATTTTTTAGAAGCTACCTAGTTTATGGTATGTTGTTACAGTAACCTGAATGACACACTCTTAAATGCGACAATCCACAGGATTTTGTGTACTCAGTCTCATCCTAATTGGCACTGTCAAGTCAGAAGATACTTTTAAAGAAGGAATGAAAAGCAAAGTCTCTACACAAATCTCTGGGCACACAAACCACTCTGAATTTAAAATAACATCAGATACTCGTTTCTGAACAGAGGAAAGGTCAGTAGAGAATTTTACAGTGTCTGCTTATTTCCACACTGTGTGAATTATTAAACCACTGTAATCTTGAAACACTACAAAGTGAGGTTTAAATAAGAGCTTATAGCATGTCATGGTAGTCCTCAATTTACTGGATCAGAATCTAGATCTTATGCATTTAAAGCTCAAATTATTTAGGCAGACTCAATGCACACTGTTCTTCAAAGCAGGCCATCTACTTTTGCTATCTTCCCAATTGGCATTTTTCTACTGCTGTCCCAGTGAACAACTGGTCACCTTCTTATCACCTTATAAGGTTCCAAAATCAGCACACACATTAAATGCAGATATGATGGTTGCACAGTATTATTTCTCTTAGAGAACACGGAAATATAACTAGTAACAAATGCTAAGGTAGAAATAAAAGATATCAGTTGTAAAATACACATAGTGACACAGTATAGTTATGTTCTACAGAGTGACAATGAACAGTGAAATGGCAAATACTGAACTCTCTGCTCCTAGGGGGAGGGTGTGTGTGTCACAATAATTTTAAATCCTGAAAACTTATCCTGGTAGATTCCCATCTCCTTTACTTCACAAAAGAGAAAATAAAGCTCTTTTTTATTTTCAAGTGAGTTCCATGAGCCACACCACAGCTGAGATTCAAGAGCCAGAGCTTCCTGTACCACCCAGCACTACCCTGCTGTGCTCTCCACCTCAGGCCTGGTCTTCGTGACCACTGAAACAAGACGGCACCTGGAACTTACACATGACAGAACTCAGTTTTTCCTGCTCTGTGTATCTCCAGAAATGACCACCAAATCTCCAGTGGGAGTTGATTTTGGGGTCACAAATAAACTTTAGCCAGTAGGCAAATTTGCAAATAGAAAATTTTAAACTAATGGGAGCCTGCTCTATTTGTTAATTTGGCTCATTTACTACATAGATGACAACTACTATCAAAAGGAGCTGGCAAGAGCAATTCAATCTAAATGAAAGTGCAGAACACTGTGTGTGCATCTTACCTTGTGTTTGAGCTTGGAAAGGTTTCCCCCCTCCATTATGGTGCTTTATGCTTCTATCAGCAACAAAGCCAGAGGATAAGGTCACATTAGTGGGCTGGTTTCTCATTTTCTTAGCATGCTTTCTTTCTTTTGCATTAGACATTTCTGGAAAGGAAGTAACAAATTTAATACAGCGAGAGGGGACACCCATCCAATAATAATAAATTTAATACATATTTATCCAATTCAAATTTGATTCTTTCATATAATAAATCTTCATTTACTGTAGGTAGATTGATGATACCAAAGAGGGAAATTTCAAAGTCATAATGCTATGAACACCCAAAACCCATTTAAATAGAAAAAATGAAATTTATTAACAGAAGAGTTCCTATGGTACATTCCAATTTGTGTTGCCAAATAATTAAGTCACATACAAATGTTGACACTGTGTAAAGTCTGTTGGAAGAATAAAAAAGGAAGTGAGATTAAATCAGTATGCATAAAAAATTAGTTAAAACATTTTATCATGATTCCCAGGTGAAATAAGAACCACCTGAATCAATACCATTTGCAATACTATTCCAAAGTAAACATAAATTACTGATGCTTTCATTTCTACTACTAAGATGATGATGCTATCTCTATCATTAACTCACAATAGCAACAGACAGTTTTGAAGTAAAAAGGATAATAAAACCTCACTAGTTCTGAATTCTCAAACTCGACCCCCCACCTTTATTCACTGATTCAGCTTAAAACACTTATTTTCTATTTTAAAATGAAATTCATTAATAATATAACCTGTTAGAGATACACGCTGATCAACAGGCACCCTACAATATATGCCCTAACTGTAACATAAAGGACTAAAACGTAATTTTTTTTTTGGTACCAGAAATCAAACTCGGGTCCTTGTGCTTGTGAGGCAGGTGGCGGGAACCACTGAGCTAAATCCCCGCCCCCAGATGCCCTTTTAAAATACAGATTTTTCAACCCAGAGGATAATCACACCAATACAAACACGGGCAGAGGCACTGGCACAATCCGTAAAGCTGGAGAAGGGTCCTGGAAGCCCCTACCCCAAGAAAGACATTAATTCTTTCACTGCTTATTGTAAGGAAGTCTGCAAGGTCCTGCACTGGTACACTAGGAAGTAGGGAAGTTCGGTGCACCAGGTATTTACCAAGATGTTCTTAGTTCTTAACACATTAGTATTTTAATACTCTTTACTTCCGCCTACACATAAACTTACCAGGTACAAAGGCAAAGCAAACAGGGGTATTATACTTGTGCCTCACAGAGATGCTAACAATGCCACTGGTGACAGTTTTCCAAGCTGGTTGTCATGGCTCAGATCTAAAATGTTCCCCCAAAAGATCATGTGTTCAGAGGATGGGATTGCGAAGGCAATTGGATCATGAGATTATAATTTGACGGCATTATTGGGAGGTGATGGGAACAGGAGACAGGGCCTACATGAAGGGAGCAGACCATGGAGACATGACATTGGAACTCTATTTGGTCCTCAGTCCCTCTCTGACTCTTTCCCTCTTTCTCTACCTCCCAGCTGCCATGAGGGAAGGAGCTTTCCTCCTCCATGATTTTTTTGCTTCACCTTGGTCTAAAATTAATGGAACCAGAAGACCATGAATTGAAACCTCTGAAACCATAACCCTAAATAAGTCTCTCTTCCTCTAAGCTGTTTTTTTAGGTATTTAGTCATAGAGATAAAAGCTAACACAATGGTGAACGTTCCCTGGAAAAGTGCCACCCCAAAAAAAGGTACAAACTTGCTTTGATTTATTACATTGCAGAAGGGCCAGGGATTTAGCTCAGTGGTTCCGCCACCTGCATCGCAAGCACAAGGTCCCGAGTTGGATTACCCGGTACCAAAAAATAATAATAATAATAATAATAAAGAACTGTGCTTGCTTCGGCAGCACATATACATTACAGCAAATTTCAGTGTATACTAAAACTGTGCAACCAATGTTTTCATATAAATCAAATTTAGATACTAGACCACTATGGACTGCTCTGCCCATCCAGGGTATAAAACATTCTAGGCCCCTACCCAATAAATACCAGAGTGTTTGCTTGGCAATCCGTATGCCAACCAAACACTATACAAACTTCCATCCACATCAGGATTACACATTCCCACAAAGTCACTAAACTAAGTACATGCCATTTACTTACTGTTCCTCCTTTTCCAGTATAACAGCTCATCCAAAATTAAGAGCTGCTTGTGTGGTACTATCTAAGAGTCTTCCTTTGGGATTTAGAAAGATCTGGACTCAATTATCTTCCTTAACACTTTTTAGTTATATAATCTTACGAAATTACTTTCTCTTGAGCCTCAAACTCTTCCTCTATGAGTGGGAAAAATCAGAGTTATGAGAATTAAGTAAACCTTATATACATATTTATATGGTTTTGGCCAGGAGTGATGGTGCACACTTGTACTCCCAGCATTTGAGGCTGAGGCAGGGGGATCTCCATGAATTCGAGGCCAGCTTGAGCTACGGTCAGTTCAAGGCCAGCCTGACCTACACAATGAGACCCTGTCTCCAAAAAACAAAGTTTTAAAAATAAGGTTTAGATTTCACAAAATGCTTATACATAACTTATTTAGCATAGGGTTTTGTATAAACTAAATGCTCAGTTTAAATTAGCTATTATTCTTCAATAATAAACAGGAGTTTTTGTCCTTTCATGGTCTTACTCCACTGTACTTTTACTTCCATGAAAAAGACAACTATAATTCCATCCAAAAACATCTTTTATATTAAATACGTAGAAAGTGAGTGGAGTTCTGCAAAACTAGTTAGCTAGTGAAGCACATGATTCCGATCAGTCTGCAGAAGAACTATTCAAAACATTTTACAAGCAATTTAGTCTGCCTACTTACTGTACTGTACTTGCATCAGAAGAGGGCTACCCTAGGATCTCTGGCTATGCTCAGGGTTAGAATGGGCCAAAGGCAGGCTGTTGATGGGGGATTAAAGTAACCCTGGCATGTCATATCTCTATCTTTGGTTCCAGACTAAAAGATAAGGAGATTAAAAACTAGGCAGGGTGGCACTCGCCTGTTGTAATCCCAGCATTCTGGGAGGCTGAGGCAGGAGGATCACAATTTGAGCTCACTTTAGTGACTAAGCAAGATGCTGTCTCAAAATAAATAAATGTCTAAAAGGTGGGGATGCAGCCCACCATCAAGGCCCTGGGTTCAATGCTCAATGCCAGGAGAGGAATGAAAAAAAAAAAGATGAGGAAACTTAACTAGTAGTGATACTCAAGCAATTCCAACAGCAAAAAGAATAACTATAGAATGCATCCTTATAAAGTCTGAAGAGTTAGCTTAAAATAGCTTCCAGAAGAAATTTTAATTCTTTAATATTCAAGTCACATACATAGTTTGTATCTGTTTTCATGTTCATTTAGTCAAAAGTTAGAATACTAAATATATGACTTATAACATGTTTTCCCCAAATCTACAAATAAAATGGACATGTCATATTTTCTCACACAGCTTATTATCCACCAACCAAATATATCCCTTGGTATTGTACACTCCAGCTTGAGAACCTGGGAACTAACCACAGATATCTCTATTTTCTTCTAGATCTAAAAAAACTGCTGATTCAGACTTGATAGAACATCTGCTGCTTAAACAGAAAAAAAAAGACCAGGCATGGTGGCCCACACCTGTCACCCCAGCACTCTGGAGGGTGAGGCAGGAGTATCACCATGAGTTTGAGGCCAGCATGGGCTACATAGTAAGTTCAAGGCCAGCCTGAACTACATAGCAAGACTGTCTCAGAAAAACGAAAATAAATAAACAAAAACTGTCTTGTTTCACAAAACACATTTCATATTTGAATTATTTGTAATGTTCCAAGAGGTCCTTAAAAAATCACATGGCATCCAGGTGTGGTGACACATACCTGTAATCCCAGCACTCTGGAGGTTGTATCAGAATTCCAAGTTCAAGACTAGACTGGGCAATTTAGTGAGACCTCATCTCAAAATAAAAAACAGAGGCCTGGGGATTTAGTTCAGTGGTCCCATGCCTGTCTCGAAAGCACAAGGTACTGAATCAGATCCCAGTACCAAAAATAAAAATAAAAAGGACTGGGGATATAGTTACATGCAAGGCCCTGCGCTCAATCCCCTGTACTGCAAAAATTAGTTAAAATAAAATAGGGCCGGGGATTTAGCTCAGCGGTTTCGCCTCCTGCTGCACAAGTGCAAGAACCCAAGTTCGATCCCCGGTACCAGAAAAAAACACCTCAAAAGATAAAATAAAATAAAAATCATAAAGTGAATTATTTTATCCAGTTTAATCAAATGTTAGTAGCTTTTGGGTACTTATTATGTATCTAACAGTTTAGGGCATTATGTAATATATCCTACTGTCATACAGTAGTATAGGATATAGTCTGTTTGCTTAAAAGAGTCTATCTTAGGCAGCTGACCTTGAGAACTTTATGTGCCAGGCACTGTTCTACATGCCTCACTCATTTAATTCTCACAATGATATGAGGGAGATACTAGGGTCTACTCTCATTTTATAAATGAAGAAACTGAAGTATACAGCAGTTATATAAGCTACCCAAGGCCACTAACCTTTTTGTGATTGTTTTTGGTTTCAAATCAGGCAGTCTGCCTCTATTCACTTCTGTTTTGTTTTGTTTTGTTTTGTTTTGTTTTGTTTTGTTTAGACAGAGGCTTGCTATGTAGCTCAGGCTGGCCTTCAACTCATTATGCAGTCCAGGCTGGCCTCAAACTCACTGAAATCCTCCTGCTTCAGCTCCCTCAGTGCTGGGAATAGAGAATTAAATCACATACAAAAAATACTGTAATTTGGAGTATAGCAAAATAGGAAGCTCAGTAAGAGAAAAAAATGAATCAGCAGAAAAAATCAATATGAAAGTAGGATTTCAATTGGCTGGAATTTGGGTAGAAAGAGAAGAAAGTAATTTGGGAACCTACTGTATGAACAGGAGTGAGGACTCTGGAAGACTAAAGAGAGGACGGAACAGAAGAGGATGAAACTAAATAGGATAGTGGAGGCCAGACTGAAAGGCCTTTTGTTCCTGGTTAGAGCTCTAAACCCCGGAAAAGATCTAAATTCTAACAGTTCTTCAGCCTGAAGTTAAAAAGCAGAGTCTTAGCATTTCAAAGAACAAAAAGAGAGGCAACCAAAAGGGATTCTATTCATAGTACGTTTTGGAAGCCGGGAGGACGAAGAATCTTTTTTCCCTATTGTAGCACCAGTACGCAGCTGACTGCCAATGTAAGGGCTCAGTATTTGGTGACTGCAAGCCTGAACGCATAAATGAAGACGTGGTGCAGGCCTAAAACGCGCATATTAACAGGATAAGAAATATTCAGCCCTGTACAACCCCTTCTCACACAGCACGACCTGCCCAGGGACCAGCTCTGGGGCTATTATCTGGATCAAGATCACGTTCTTTCCTTTTGAAATCAGATCTCCGTCCTAAGGCTCGGGCCGTATCCAAGGAGACCTTGCAAAGCCAGAGGAGCGGATCTAGAGGCCAGAACGCGGGAGGAGCCGGAAGGTGGACAACGCCCCGGACTCGGCGTGGTCCCCTGAAGGACCCATCGTGTTCCTTAGGGAGGCAGAAGAGTGCAAACCTCTTCCTAGAAAGGCTTCCGCCCGGCGGGGTAATGAGAGGAAAGGGCAGACCTAGGGGCTCAATGGGAAGAAGGGCCCCGGCCTCAGGCAGCAAGAACCCAAGGTCACCAGTCTGAGACCAAGCGCAGGGCCGCCACGTACAGGGTCCCCTCGACCTCGCGGACCCTGACGGGCACCAGCGCCTCACGACCTACCTGCCAGACGTTCTCAGGGCTCCCCAGGTCAGAATGACAAGACTGTGACAGTCCCTCCGAGGAGACCGGCGAGGCGATCCAGAGGGATGACGCATGCGCAACCCCGGCCACCGCCTCCACGTGGCCCGGAGTCGCGCGCAGACTACAGTTCCCAGAATGCCTGGTGGTGGGCGGAGCCTCTCAGGGGAGTTCGGTCAGTGAGGGGAGAAGCTGTTGGGGATAGAGCTAGGACTTACTTTTCAGTGAGGGACCGAATGTGAGAACTGTTAGCTATGACGTCCCTGATCAAAAAGGTGATCGGCACGGCGAAAGCCCCGAAGGCCATTGGGCCCTACAGGTAACTTGGCTTGTGGGAGCACAGATGGAGCCCTGGGGTTCGCAGTCGGTGCTGGGCCACACCGGCTCCGATTAGGCTGGCCTCGGAGTCCTCCGTTCCATTCCCTCGAACGCGCAAGGCAGCCAAGCCCGAACAAAAGGACGCACCCAGGGACCCCTAGATTTGGGGCTCCCAGGGGGACCGGGAGCTCGTGCTCCGAGGACTTTGCCCCCACCTGGGCTGCCTGGCTTCCAGCCTACCTCAAAGTTTTCTCTGCTTAGAAGTGGTCTGATCCGGGTTTTTGTTTGGAAGGTGTAGATCTGGGGTTTTTGTTATTGTTTCTGGGTTGGGTGTTTTTTTTTTTAACTCCCTGGGGAGTTTATTGGTGACAGCTTTATTGAAATAGAATTCACAGACCGTAGAATTCACACCTTTAATGTACACAATTCAGTGGTCTTTACTGTACTCTGAGTATATAGCTATCACCACTATACTCTAATTTCACCACTTTCTAACCTCAGAGTATCTGCATCACCCCAAAAAGAAATCCCATACCCATTCGCTCCCCACCCCACCTTCCAGCCCAACAACTATGAAGCTACTTTCTACCTCTATGAATTTATCTGTTCCAGACATTTCCTATAAATAGAATCTTTCTGCCTCGCTTCTTTCACGTAGCGTAAAATTTGGTCTAACCCTCTCAATTTAAAGGGTAAAATCTCATCAACAGATGTGGTTGCTCTTGTAGGTGCAGCTGAGTTCTTTTCACAGAAGCGCTTAGCAAATCTTTGCGAATCTACCCAACACTTGGTTTTTACAACATGTATAGAAAGATGTTGTAATATTTATGTAATATTCATTGCCCATGCTCATTTGCCACCAACAAAATCAGATACAACTAATAACAAAGGTCATTTTCTAAGATTGTCCTATATACTCTAGCTAAATATATGAATACTGGCAAAAAGATGCCCCTGTGTACTTATCAGAAGTACTTGTAAATAGGAAGGTTAATTCTGTTTTTAAAAAATCATTTTTTGGAAACAAAGCTTTTGCATATAGGGAGGGGAGGAGGATGGAGCAGAGAGGGGATGGGAAAATAGAAGAGGCAAGTGCACATTCCTGGTACCTGCAAAGAGGCAGGTACATTTGCCAATGTACAAGGTGCAAATTCCCTATGATGAGGGTTATCATTATGTATATCTAAAATGTACAGGTAAATATTTTGCTAAAAAAAATAAAAAGAAAAATGTCTTTTTTAAAAAATATTTTACCTTTAAAACCATTTGATCTTATTCTCTATGTTCTTGGAGACTTTCCCCTTAATGTAATTTTTGCATACTTTTAATTTCTCTATAACCTATAAAGTATACCCTATAACCATTTTTCCTTTTTAAAATATAGTTTATTTGTGTCTGTTCCTTATTAAAAGAACAAAATCTGGAAAACTTTTACAGCTGGGGCATTTAAACTATGACCAATATGTATTGAATGCCTACCTACATGAAAGCACTTCAGGGATGCAAAAATGTGTAAGAAGCAACCCAATGAGAAAGGCATTCACACATTTGAGGAAAGAAAAATAAATATTAGTGCATCCTCTATGGCAGGTACCTATCTCCATTTTACAAAAATAAAACTGAAGCTTAAGTCAACTTTTCCAAGGTCAGATAGTCTAGAAGTGACAGCTCAATTTAAACTCTAGCCCTAGCTGCCTCTATACCACATTACCATAAGAAATAGTACTCACATGTAACAGAACAATAATTATTATAGTAAAGTTGGAAATAAATGCAATGCAGTGAAGGAACAAATGAGGAGAGAACATAAGATTTAGGATGGTTGGGCCGGGGATTTAGCTCAGTGGTTTCGTGCCTGCTGCGCAAGCACAAGGACCCGAGTTCGATCCCCGATACCAAAAAAAAAGATTTAGGATGGTTCCTTGTAAAAGGTACAAGTGCCTTCATGTCTTTAATTGTGCTTTTGTGCCTACCTTAATGTCCTGAATCCATTCAAAGCATTTACTTTTCGTGGTCATTATGACTCTGAGGAAGAGCCAGAAGTCACACTATGCCACATCCAATGCATAAGGTGGATGAGGACTCACCATAATGTTTTTATGAGCCTGCCTTTCAGTTGGATGGCACCTGACAGCAGCATTTACTGGATCTTTGATCACACCCTGAAAAGACGCTCATGAAAGAGAACTTCCAGAACTGCTTCAGAAAGTGGCAAGAACATGGAATACGTGTTCGAAGAGAGGGAGGGTATTTTGAGGGAGATTAATGGCAGTGTCTCTTGTACTGTATACATTTTTAAACATTCACCCTATATTTTGTTCAACCCTTGTAGCCCTTGAGTTGGGTTTTGAAGATTGGATTTGCCATTTCTAGGGTCATTGTAAAGTTAGATTTTTGTTTTTTAATCAATTTGATAAGGAATTCAACAGGATGTCATGGAGTGAAGTGTTTTCGAAGTAGGGGAAACAGCTGGAGTGATGGTATAGGAGTGGAAGAATGCATGACATGAAGATTTTTGGAAGGAAATTTTAGTAATTCAAAGGCCACTATTACATTTTTCCCGGGGATTTAGCTCAGTGGTTCCACTGCCTGCCTCGCAAGCGCAAGGACCCAAGTTCAATCCCCAGTACCAAAAAAAAACATTTTTCCCCAACACCACACCATTTATATTATAATTTACTTAACACATTTCTTTGAGATGTCTGCCTTTACTTAACAGATTAGTTTTAGAAGGAAACTGTATAACAAATAGTATGCTAGGGCTAGGGATATAGCTCAGTGGTTCTGCTGCCTGCTTCGAAAGCGCAAGGTCCCAAGTTCAACCCCCAGTACCAAAAAAAAATAAATAAAGAAGATCAAACAAATAGTGTGCTAAATAGAATACAGCTCAATAGAAAGTAAAAAATAAGCTTATTGGAAAGTGTTATTAAATGTTAACTAGACACTACAGTTGGCTTAAAACCTGAGGCCTGAACTCTGTTAAAGTGGTGCTTCTGGTGGGATGTAGCTCAGGGGTAGACCACTTACCTAGCATGTGCAAAGCCTTGAGTTCCAAACTCAGCCTTTAAAAAAAAAGAAGTGAGGGCTGGGGATTTAGCTCAATGGTTCTGCTGCCTGCCTCACAAGCAGAAGGACCCAAGTTCCATCCCTGGTACCAAAAAAGAAAAAAAAAAAGTGATATTTCTTTAAACTTGTTTTCTAAAATGGTAATTTTTTTTCTCTTTAATTAGAAGGGTTGAAATCACTCAGGGTTGAAATGACTCAGCACTAGACATAATTCTAAGTGTTTCATATGCACAGTTCCTATTACAGTTCCCATTTTTTAGCCAAAAAACCTGATGCACACAAAGTTAAGTAATGTGACTAAGGTCACACCACTAAGAAAGGATGTAACAGGATTGTCTTTTTTTTTTTGGTACTGGGGATTGAACTCAGGTCCTTGCACCTGTGCAACAGGCAGCAAAACCACTGAGCTAAATCCCCAGCCCCAACAGGATTTTAATTTAGGCGAATGATTTAGTTTGCAGTCTTCAACATAGAAAAATTGAAAAGGTAATCATTTCCTTACTAGGATTCAATGTGTATGACTGACCCTTTAGGGAGTACTCTGTAAGAGTTGATTTTAGACTTGAATTTTTGCTTTGCTTCTTTTTAACCATACTACCTTGCAGAGTAACTTTACCTCTCCTAGTTTGCTTCTTCTAAATAGCATTAGACATTACATTAATGCTACTTCGTAAGATTTATGTTGGGATTAAATTAAAAAATGGGCAGTAACAATTAGATTTTGGGTTCAAGTTCTTGGTAGTTTCCAGTGCTAAACAAAAGAGCATAAAGTTGGTCTGGAGATGTAGCTCAGTGGTAGAGCGTTTTCCTAGCATGCAGGAGGCCCTGGGTTCAATTTCTAGTACCTCAAAAGAATAATAGATTTATTTTGTATGTAATGAGGAGCCCTGAAATATTCCGAAGCAGGAAATAACATGATCATATCCCTTTTAAGAAAAGGATCTTAATAGTAACTTGAATAAAAATTTGGAGAAGAGAATGAAAATAGGGAATATTAGGAATATTACAATGTAAGTAAAAATCAGTACTTTTTTTTAATCCTCTCCTTAATCACACAGTGATAGCATTTAGAATAACATTTCTACTTCATTTTTTCAGTTTTAATTTTATTATTAGTACCTGTTTGCAATACACAATGATTACATTCCTTGTGGGGAGTTGGTACATGTACCGAACACATTCTTTCCTTTTCATCCCTTCCTTCCCCCTTTTTTACTTCAAAACAAAAGTGACCCATAAAAAAAAAAAAATCAGTGACACTTTGTCCTGACACCTGCTAAGAGAGCATACATCTATCTTGACCTATTTAGAAATACTCTGTGTTCTTTGCTCAGTTTGAAAGAAAAGATTAATATCCTGGTTGACTTTGAGGTGGTGGGGGTCAGCTTCTTGATAAAGCAAAGCAAGCAGAACAGAGGGGCGCTGTCGTAGGTGTCTGCCGGTGTGACGAAAGCTGTGGATCTATGTCATGGTGTGAGACTTTGCACAAAGGACACAACACAAGCTCCAGATACGGTCTTTGTTTCAATATTTTCTGTTGAAGAAAAACACCTTCCAACCTACATATTCTGATAAAGTTAATCGGACGTCTTTTAAGAACTATTTGGAAACAAGAGTTTTTGTGTGTGGAGTTTGTAGTGAGAATACTTTTTGAAAATTCTAGGTCCTCTCCAGAAAGACTTCAAGTGCATTGAGTGAATTCAGATGTGTTGCTGGCCCCTGGCCTTGGGATAGATGTAGTGTCGTCACTAATTAACTAGTCAGCTCAGCACACTGCAGGAGATTCAAGGACAGAGCCTTGAGAAATTTCATCTTAGTCCTATTACATTGCTTTCCATTTTTTCCATTTATTAGCACACCAGCCAGTAATTCAGTGGCATAGATAGTGATGTCATAATTTTTAGAATGCTTTTTTTTTTTTTTTGGTTCTGGGGATCGAACTCAGGTCCTTGCACCTGCAAGGTAGGCAGAGGAACCACTGAGTAGAATGCTTTTTAAAATGTTCCCTTTGACCTGGAAATAGAACCATACACTTTCAAGTCTTGTCTGTGGCTAATAGGATCCTTATGCTGAGGAGGTAGTTATCACGTGTCCAATTATTTTGTAAATAAACCTCTTGAAATTTCTAAGAAATAACTCAGTCTCAGAGATGCAATGCTTACTTTTGATTCTCAAAAATAAGTGGGCCTTTATTACCACCATAAAGTTTTTGGCAGTGCTGAGGATTGAACTCAGGTCCTTATGCATGCTAGGCAAGCCCTGTATCACTGAACCACACTCCTATCATAAAGTTTTTGATAAAAATAATACGAGTTTAAACTCCATTTCAAATGTAGGAAGAGAGGACATTTGATGTTAGCTAATGGTAACAGAGGGACTACACAGGACAGTTGGTAATGTTAGCTAAAGGTACTGTTCAACCTGAGAAAAAGTTACAAATTAACCTCTCTCAACAATTATTTATTTGAGGACAAGCGTGAAAGCCAGATAGTTGAGAATTCCTAGGCTCTGAATCCTGTTACTAAGTTCAAAGTCTATTTTCTTCAGCTCTCCAAAGCCCATGTTAAAAGCTAACAGGTCCTGCCTAAAAGATATTTATTGACAGCCAAAGTGGTTTATGCGACTAAGTGATTAGAGAGGGAAACATCAACAAGTAGATATTTGTTGTCTACTAGTGTCATAAGATACTATCTGTACCCCTAAGAAATTTAGAATCTAAGATGCCTTGGGGCCCGGAGGAGATAGGGTAGGAACAGGGCTAGGTATAATATGCAGGGCTAGGTATAATATGTAGCAAGCTCCTATATGTCATAAGAAAGGCTCAACCAGGGGACCCTTAGGGCCCAGGGCAAAGGCTTAGTTACTTGCTCAGGGGAAATTTGTGTGCAGTGGTTTTCAATGTAGTTTTATTTATAATACTAAAATATTGGAAGCAAAGGTTAAAGTATAAAGTATACTAGTTAAGATATATTCATACAGTGAAATATTTCATACAATGAAATGCTGTGTAGCTGTTTTAAAAAATGAATGAGAAATGTTATATGTAATTATGGAAGATTTTTCTGACATACTGTTCAGTGAAAAAAGCAAGTGTAAAAGTATAAAATACCATATTTTGTGTCAAAGGAGAAATATACGTGTGCATTTGTTTACATGTGCATGAAGAAAAGACATAAACAGGAAGGAAGTCGGGTGTGGTGGTGCATACCTATAACCCCAGCACTGGGGAGACTGAGGCAGGAGGATGCCCATGAGTTTGAGGCCACCCTGGACTACATAGTGAGTTCAAGGCCAGCCTGAACAACATAGCAAGACCCTGTCTCAAAATACTGAGAGAGAGAGAGAGAGAGAGAGGAATGATCATTATCTATAGGGGCTGTGAACTGAACAATCAGAGCACAGATGGAAACTTTTCACTGCTCTTCTTCCTATATTTTATAGATTTTTTTGGACCATGTTAATCTTCTCCTATTCTAAAATATTAAAGTGATTTGTAAAAATGTGGTTGAGAAGACCAAGGAAAGCTTCATGACATAAAAGAAGAAAGTTTGGGGCAGAAGTTGTAGGTCAGGGATAGAACACTTGCCTACCACAAGTGTGAGGTCCTGGGTTTGATCCCAGCACTGCAGAAGAAAGAGGAGAAGCCAGGGATTTAGCTCAGTGGCGCTGCGCCTGCCTTGCAAGTGCAAGGTCCTAAGTTCGATCCCTGGTACTACAAAAAAAAAAAAGGAAGGGAAGGAAGAGGAAGGGCGTCCGGGGAGACAAGATTATTAAATTATAAGTATCTTAAATAAGCATACAAATGGTAAAACAAATATTAAGATTTCAGTTTCAAAAAACAGGCAGCTTTGGGGCCGGGGATTAGCTCAGTGGTTTCGACGCCTGCTGTGCAAGCGCAAGGACCTGAGTTCAATCCCCAGTACCAAAAAAAAAAAAACAGGCAGCTTCTTTATTCTGCAACAAAAACATTTCCTATAAAAGGTTGAATTGTTTGGCATTGTTTTAAGGTATCAGTGTAGTTTGAGGTTTTCCCTATGACTTTATCCTAACCCTGAAATTCAGCACCCTCATTATAAAAGTGAGCACTTGGCAGTAGTGAAGAGAATCTTCAAACATGCATCCTTAATTTACTCTGCAGCAAGCAGTGACTGGTCATGTCCGAGAATTACTTATTTTAAAAATGCTCCTGGCACTTTTTTGTTTCACAGCTTTATTGGAGAATAAGTTACTTATTTTTTCAAAATTACCTATTTTGAATGTAGAGTTCCATGACTTTTGGTAAATGTGTAGAGTTGCACATCTGCTACCATGACCACCTTGTAGGGCATTCCCATCACCTCCAGAACATTTCCTCATAGCCATTGGTATCCCTTCCCCACCCTGCTTAGACAGCTACTGGTTATGTACTTTCTGCTGCTACTATTTGTCTCTTCTAGAATTTCATATAAATGAAAGCAAATTTTAGTTGGATCTGTCAGAGGTTTTGTTCATTTACTTTCTCGATATCATGACCAATGATGTTCTGAGTGTTTATGTGATGTCTTTGAACACATGTTTTCATTTTTCTTGGGAATGAAAGAAACTTTCTGGGAAAGAAACTCCTAAGTTGTGAGTTGAGTGTATATTTACATTTTTAAAGAACTGCCAAACCATTTTCCAAAGCAGCTGTACGATTTTGCGTTCCTATCAACAGAATGTGAAGATTCCAATTGCTCTACATCTTTGCCAGGGCTTGTTATTACATCACTAATGTGTATGGTGCTCTCTTATGGTTTTGATTTGCAAATCTCTAACGACTAATAATGTTGAGCATCTTTATTCCTTAGCTCATTGTTTATCCTCTTTTATAAAGTTTCTGTTCAGGGCCCGCGATTTAGCTCAGTGGTGCTGCCGCCTGCTTTACAAGCGCAAGGTCCTGAGTTTGATCCCCCAGTACCGAAAATAAATAAAGTATCTGTTCAAATCATTTGCCTATTTTTTATAAGATTGTTTTTCATGGGCGGGGGGGGGCAGTTTGGTACCAGGGATCGAAAACTTGGGACCTTGCACTTGCAAGGCAGGTGCCGGAACCACTGAGCTAAATCCCCGGCCCTGTTTTTCATTATTGAGTTATAAGCATTTTTCATATATTCTGTATAAAAGTCCTTTATTAGATACATGTTTTACAAATATTTTTCTCCCAGTTTATGAGTTATCTTTTCATGGTCTTAAAGATATTTGTTGATAAACAAGTTTTTAATTTTAATGAAATCTAATCTATCTTTTTTTCTTTTATGATTTATACTTTTGAGCATTGAGTCTTGTATTTTATATATGCACTGGCTTTCTGTTTGTTGCAGTCAAGCTGTGTTAGTGGACAAGACCATTTACATATCAGGACAGGTCGGCAGAGACCCTGCAAGTGGACAGCTTGTGCCAGGAGGGGTAGTAGAAGAAACAAAACAAGTAAGCCCTTTTCACATTTGAAGTTTCCTTTTCTACTTCTTTTCAATATTGATGAGGAAAGAAGGGACAAAAAAAAGAGCAAATAGAAGGAAAAAATGAAAACAAAGCTTTTGTACATGGTGGGGGGCAAGATATATCATGTACAGGTGCAAATTCCCTATGATGAATGTTACCATTATATATATCTAAAAGTACCAATAAATGTTTTTGCTAATAAATAAATAAATGAAAAAAATATTGATGAGTATTGAGAATCCACTGCCTGATTGTTCTGGTAGAGTTTAAATGCTTTTTAAAACCAAGGATAGTGGCACACACCTATAATCCCAGCACTTGGGAGGCTGAGGCAAGTGGATTACTGCAAGTTCAAGGCCAGTTTAAACTACATAGCACCCTGTCTCAACAACAAAAACAAAAGCTTTTTAAACCACTCACTGATTTAAAACAGTTCTTGATTAAAGGACTGGAGCTAGAAATTTAATGAATCATTTCACTAAAAAACAGTATTCCTAAGGTGACCTAAACCTGAATTGTCAGAATCAAATAACATGTAGCCACTTCCATGTGGATTGGGAAATTTTCTTTTCAAGGACATTGACCCTCTGCCATCCCAAAAAAGTCACCACCATGGAAGTAAAAGGTCAATATTTGTTAGTAAGAGAAAAATATCAGCCAGGGATTTAGTTCAGTGGTTCTCCTGCTGCCCTGGAAGAGCAAGGGCCCAAGTTCAATACCTGGTACCAAAAAAAAAAAGTTATTGAGAAAAATATCAAAGATTACACTTAGCGTGTTTCTTTTAAAAAGAATATGTTATATAACTCTAATCAAATAATAGAATTAAATTGTAATTTAATGCATTCATTGAGTTTGTAATACACAACACAATAAAAAAAACTAAATGTCTATCTGTAGGAACTGGTTGAATAAATTATGCTAGATGTATACAACTAAATTCATATGGAAAGATCTCGAAGATAAATCATTAGGTGATAAAATGAACATCAGAACAGTATGTACCTTATGCTATCATGTGTGCATGTTTGTGTGTCGAAGAATATGTACATTTATGAGGGTAAAAGCATTGACTGTCTCTAGTAGAAGAATGTGTAAGAAACTAGAAGTTGTTACCTCTGGGGAGTAGGAGTCCCAGGGTGGGAGACATCTTCTTGCTGTTTATTCTTATGCTTTTGAAGTTTTTGCCTTATCCATGTAGCACTTATTTAAAAGTCATCATTTTTTAAAAACACAAAACTATAAACAAATGTTATATTATCATCAGTAAAGAAGGGAAGAAGAATGAATTGAAAATAAAAAGTAGAAGATAAAAAACTGAAGCTTTGCTGGGGATGTAGCTCAGTGGCACCACACCTGCCTCACAAGTGCAGGGTCCCAAGTTCGATCCCTGGTACCAAAAAAAGGAAGCTTTTCCAGAGGCCAGAGTTACCAACATATATAGAATTCACTAAAATTGTTTTTAGAAAAAGGAAAAAGAACCCTTTCATATCAATTATTGCTTTAAAAGAAAACATGTTTTCATGCTTACCAGTTCATTCTTATCTTTGAAGAATTATAGTGTGGGGGATCCTGGAAATTATTTGTTTCAACTTCATGGATATTGACTT